CTTTAAAGAAAGGCTGCCAATCGCAGTAAATTAATAGTTTATCATCAGAAAATATCACTGATTATCTTCTTCTTGACAAGATGCCGGCCGAAAAAGGGACGCCAATCAAGTCTTTAACAATTCTCTAATACCCTGGTTATGGGTGACATTACAATAAATATCATCGTCATTGCCATTGTCATTGTCACCTCTAGCTGTTAGCGTATAGTACCTGTCCTTCTAATTGTGCATGCAACGCGTAATCATTGTTTCGTCATAATGAATTGCGCCCTGCATGCGCCCTGCATGCGCGTTACAAAGGTAAACGCTCTAGCAACGATGTGACTTGTTTTGTTTACATAATATGCCTCTCATTAGCATTAGCTAGTTCTCGAGGAATCATTGTGATTTTATCGTTCTCTAGAAATCTTTCGAATCATTTTACAAAATGGGTTGTATTCAGTCCAAACGTCATCATGATCATGATGATGACGTATATGAACTTGGGATCAACTTTGTACGTCCAAGAATAACCAACTATCATAAAAAGGTATTTGAAAATAATGAGAATCAGAGAGTCTTGTTGATCATTGGGCGGTTAATATTGACACTGGTAATATCGTTTAGAAAGGGAGGCGAGTATTCATAATGACAGGAAGATATATATAAATATATCAACCTTTTACCTAATAATAATAGCGTAGCCGCGGGAGGGGGGCGTCACCCAGCCTTCATCCCGATCCCACATGGCCTAATATTTATGTTCAATGTTTTGTCGTCATAATAGCACTACAGGTCCCCCCCCCCCCCATGAAGAAGAAAAAATGATATTCATGTTCAATATTTTGTCGTCGTATTTGCACTATATGTTCCCTCCCTCCCACCCCCCCCCCCCCCCGAATTGAAAAAATGTAATGTTCATGTTCTATACAGAGATTTAAATCATGTGAGTAAGTAGTCCATGATTCTAAATTTACAGGCATATATTACATCTTTAAAACATCTCATACATGTAGGTATGGGCTTTAATTTTGTTAATTCCTTTTCCTCAGTAGGCCTCTCTCTGAAACACTTTTCTTATGCTATAAATCTCTTCCTTATGATTTTGTTTAAATATTCTCGTAAGTGATGTTAAACAGTATCAATTGAATATGAAGGTAACAACAATACAACAACAAAACAAAAACAAACAAACAAACAAACAAATTGCTTCATTTGTTTGTGTTCAGAGGGAGCAGGAGAAGGACCTCCCGATGATCATCATCATGGATGTAGATGGACCGACGCACTGGGATCGAACACCCCTTCGTCATCACGACGACGACGATGATGACGATTACATCGAATTCCCTGAATCATCCCGGAAATCAGACCCCATAGATCCCGACTATGATCCAATCACAGTGAGTGATCGTGTTAACTACTCGTTCTATCTTGTAATGAAATTACAGGCATAACAAAAAACATGCAACCAAAATTTTTAGCATAACTTACTGTTAACATAATTAAATCCCAAACGTAAACTCTTTAATATTATTATTGGAACGCGGGCGAAAAATAACTAACTAACATAAGTTTCATGACAATACAAAACCAAAAGCAATTTGAAATTATTTGTTGTTTCGCCACAACGAACAGAACATGCTCGGCATCACGAGTCTCGATGTCATCAACCGTCGCAGTTACCAGACCGTAGGGACAGTCGTCATCGACAAGGTGGGTGACTACAGCATCGATGTCGACGAAAGTGAGCTTTCATCAACTGTTTCATCAGAAGAGAGTGTTGTCGACAGTAAATATGCGGCAAACGACACCGCCGATGATCTCGATCATGACAGCAAACGAGGCAGTGGTGTTACAAATCTAGGAGCCGGTGAACATGGAGCCGAGGAAAAACTGGTGTCAGAGAATTTAGAGGTCACTAAGGTATGCATTTTGTAAAAAAAAAGATAGATATCTAAAAGTATAACAACAGGAAAAATCTGCATCTATGTATAGACTAAGGAAAACGAACGGCTGGAATTTCTGAAATTGGTCCAATAAGATACATGTACAATGTATTAACAAAAATATATAGTTTGAGCTACAGCAAACCTTAACATTTATTCGGCAAGCCCGCTTTGCATGTCCCATTAAAAGAAATAATGACAGACTAATGGTGTTTTTTGTTGTTGGTACTTTTCAAAAGATTTGTTTAAAATAACAATCATGACCCTTTCGGAGTCATAGAAGAAATATCATACTATTTGTTTTTCATTTGTTCCTTTTTATTTTAGAACACAGCCGCTCCAGGACTTGAGAAAGTGGAGCCTTATGGAACAGCATTTCAGCCAATCCGGCAACAGACATTGACTGAAGCAGGCGATGCAGGCCAGGCTGTACCCATGACAACCAAGGAGGTGTCTGTAGAAAAGGAGGAACAGGTGGTCGCGAGTCTCCTCAGGGACATGGTGGAGAAGGCCATCGCTGTGACGATCAGGGAACAAGAAAAACAGATGGTGGAAAGGTTCCTAGAAGTGATCATCAAGGCAGTTCAGGTTGCAGCCGATGAGAGGGGTTGGTGAAGAGACTCCTCAGTGACATGATAGAGCTGGCCATCGTTATGACGATCAGTGAAACAGAAAAACAGATGATGGAAATGTTCCTAGAAGTGATCATCAAGGCAGCTCAACTTGCAGCCGATGAGTGGGGTTGGTGAAGAGACTCCTCAGTGACATGATGGAGAAGGCCATCGCTGTGACGATCAGGGAAACAGAAAAACAGATGCTGGAAAGGTTCCTAGAAGTAATCATCAAGGCAGTTCAGGTTGCAGCCGATGAGAGGGGTTTGTGAATTAAGAGACTCCTCAATGACATGATAAAGAAGGCGATCGCTATGACGATCAGGGAAACAGAAAAACAGATGAGGGAAAGATTCCTAGAAGCGATCACCAAGGCAGCTGAGGGTGCAGCCGATGAGAGGAGCGGAGATGCATCCTTGAGAAGTCGGCACAAAGATTTAAGCAGGCAGGTGGAAGATAGTGGCCCTATCAAGATGCCACCAACCGCTTTCGACTATTAAAGCCTGATAAAGATGGAGAACTGAATAAGAACTCGGCAATCGAAGGATACGAGATGAAGAAGAATGCTTCATTAATGAAATGGAAATATGTGCAATACACTGAGAATCAGGATTAATAAATCATTCTAATTATTCGAATGCTTTACCATGAAAAATCTAGCAAAGATACTGATCACTTAAACTTATTTAATATATGGAAAATATAAATATACCACTGGAAAAAATATTACTTCACAATTAATCGTCAAATTTTAGTCACATCACTTTGGTAATGGAAGTGCATGTATAACCATCATAAACATCCTTAAGAAACAATAATTGTTTCTTAAGGATGTTTATGATGGTGAATGGAAGGGATTTGCAAAAGAGGGAGAGATAGAACAGGGGGGAGTGAAAAGTGAAAATCGGAAAAAGTGAGGGAAAGAGACAAAGAAGGGAGAGAGAGAGAAAGGGGGGGGAGATAGAACAGAGGAGAGTGAAAACGGAAAATCGGAAAGAGTGAGAGAATGATACAAAGAGACAAAGAAAGGGAGAGAAAGAGAGAGAGGGGGAGAGAGGGGAGAGATAGAACAGCGGAGAGTGAAAAGGGAAAATCGGAAAGAGTGAAAGAATGAGAGAAAGAGACAAAGAAAGGGAGAGAGAGGGAGAGAGAGAGGGGAGGGAGAGGGAGAGATAGAACAGAGGAGAGTGAAAAGGAAAAATCGGAAAAAGTGAGGGAATGAGAGAAAGAGACAAAGAAAGGGAGAGAGAGAGAGAGAGAGAGAGAGAGATGGGGGAGAAACAAAGAAAGAAAGAGAGCGGAAGTGAGAGTTTTTAGAGAGATTATAGAGAGGGGGAGAGAGAAAGTGAAAAGGAGAGTACTAGAGAGGTTCAGAGATAAGAAGACGTCTTGTCGAGAACAAAAAGCAGTCTGTAGGTGTTATGACTGCTTTAACGGGTTCTACACCAGTATGCTAAATTGTTCGCGGGGGTTATAGAAAGTCCCAACATATATATCAACAACAATTTCTTTAGATAGGCCTAAATCGGATAAGGGATAATAGTCATGCCTGCATTTGACTTTCTGTGGACGTCGAGTCCACTGAATGACTTATCCTATAACAATAGGCCCAAACTAGAAAAGCAGCTTCTTAAAAAAAATTCATGGAACAGACATATTATTAACCTTCTTGGAAGGGTAAAATAAAACAAAAATACATACATGTACATAATTATGTATAATCATGAATTATCAGGTCAATGTATGTACCACCTGTCAATTATCTTTCCAACCTAATACTTTTCTATCTCAAATTATGTTCATATACTGGTGACAGTTACATGCCCTTAATATGAATCTAATCAGGTTCGTAAATTATTATTCTCTCATCTTCAGCTTGTTCTTTGCTATATCACACATTTGGAGAAAAAAATACCTAAATAAGATGCACAACAAGTCAAACTTAATTTATGCTTCTTGTATTTTTTCATTATTTTGATTCTAATTATGCACAATTCAATATAATGTTTACGACTCATAATTGTTAATTTTAATAAAATAATACTATTTTGAATTGAATTGAATTGAACCCCTGTATGCCGTCAAAGGCCAGACTTTACGAGCCTAATGATTAACACCAGATTCATATATAATATAACAAAATTTATCTTTAATGTTGAATTCTTTATTATAATAATCAGCATGAGGAGAGGTAATGGGGTATTTTTGTTTCTATTTTTTTAAAATCTTGTATTATTAGGGGTTCATTTTTAAGTTCGAATAAAATATCCTGTAATGAATTGAGGGCTAACAAAATTATTAAAAGTTGGCAGGTGGACACAGTAAGGGACCCAATAACTTGCAAATGCGTGTCCTCAGTCGGCACTTCAGTTATTTGCTTTATAAAAAAGGTATAATTTGAAGAAAATGCAATAGAAGTCTACGTCCATCGGCCCGACGCTATATTATAGAGCAGTGAAGCTAGATCTGCCAATTTACTCCATGCGCCATCTATTGTTCGATCTCTTAAAGTCTGCTGCCCTCCGAAGATGGTGAGCAACATAAATTCTCCCAAAGAATCTACGTAATCTAAGAGAATCGATCATAATTTGAATATATTCACAGTTACCTGTTAATGTCCATATCTTCACTTTTCCTACCAGATTATAAGCTGTGTCATTTTTTCTCGTAGTTTGTCAGAATATAATTTTTAAAATTGACCGAATACACAGTGACGTCGGAAGTACGTGCGATATGCATGTACGTGTGTATTGCCTGCGTGTGTAAAGCGAATCCTTTCTGGGTATGGGAATTGAAAGGGACGATCTCCCCGAATAATGTAACTTAGATCTAGAGTCTAGACGAACAACACTTGTAATATGTATGCTTGAAGAAGAACGTCAAGCCCGATGTTTAAAGAAGTTGTGTTCACAGTCTGCCAGTCATTAAGGGTTCATGCCGAGATGCATTGCACTTGCAGTGTAGATTCCTAGGCCTAGATTGTATTGCCTGTGCCATTGACTTGTTGCAAGGCCAAATTACACATGCACTCTCGTTCACGCTAACGTGCGCTGCTCTGCATCCGAGATTTGGTCATCTCGGGGTAGGGTAGGCCTAATGGGTTTTGATTGATAATTTACAAGAGTAGGGCACTGGTCTGAGAGTAAGGATTATCTGGCATCCGCGTAAACGAAGATCGTCTTTGTAAATGCGGACAGAGGCATCTGCGAAAATATAGATCGTCTGCATTTTCACTGGCGATGCTAAAAACGGATTCCGTGTAACGAAATACCCCCAGTTCACCTTCTACTTTTATGAGTTGTCCGTCTTCCTGAGGATTTATCACTCGTAATGTGAAAGTCAATGTGAAATGCATCAAGAAAATTATCGCGGAATCCTTGTTGCACATTGCTAACGTGTGGATCGGAAATCAGAATCGTCCGCATTAACGAAGACGATCTTGTTTCATGCGGATGATCCTTATTCTTGATCTTGGGCCTAGGCCTAGAGTCTACTGACATTTGGATAGATTTTACATCATAAATTTTCATGAGCAATCTGCCAATTATTACTTTTTTATGTTGAGCCGAGTGAGATTATCCCTTTCAAAGCAAATATGTACAAAGAAAATTGGTATTCTAAATGGGAGACCGCCTCCAAGATACGCTACCAAATATCTTAAGATAAGTCGCTGACAACACTGATGTGCACCTAGGTTCTATCCCCCCCCCCCCCTGTTAAATTAAGAGAAAGAAACCCAATACATTATGTAATTTTGAGAGAAGGTTGCTGCTAACGGCAAGACATGTATCTTTAAATCATTGGCATTCTTAGAAGTAGACTATAAATATAACCATAACTCCTGACTTCAACCCCATGTCTACCTTTTGTTTTTCTCTAATTTACAGACGAAGGGTACTTCCAGCTTTGGAAAGCGCCACAACAAGACCCACACCTTCTGTAGGAGGTGTGGGCGTCGTAGCTACCACATCCAGAAGTTAACATGCTCGAGCTGCGGATACCCAGCCAAGACCATCAGGAAATGTAAGCACATCTTCGCTTTCCATGTAGACAGGAAAATGTCTAAACAACATTTTTGTTAAAAGATCATTTAAAACGAGAATAAAGAGCAAATGCTCTTGAGTAAAAGAAGTTGAAGAAGCCTCGTGTCCTCAGCAAATCAATGTAGGTTGTAGCCCGGACTCCTTAGTTTGAATGAATGAAAACATTCATTTATACACCTAAGTTCTAACTTTGATAGGACTGGAGTAAATGCTTCTAGTTCTACCTGAATGACATCCAGGGTTCTCAATAAGCAATAAACAAGAAGAAAGAGAGAGAGAAAAAGAGGAAGATCCCTGAAGCCCACAATTCCACACTTTTCTTAAATTAAAGGTACGGTAAAGACCAGTTTTGGAAATGCCCCCCCCCCCCCCCCCCCTCTCAAAAAATGAAATGGAAGCTCTCATTACCAATCATGTAAAAGAATGTTTTTGACTAATACGTGATGATACAAATTTTGCTAAGAAACCTATTTGGACCTGATAAATATCAAGCACGTGTTGCGTAGTCCCATATACATCTTTCTGTGTACAGTGCTTGTAACTTTACCAAGATTGGCCAAATTTCTTATCATTTTGATGATTCCAGAACCTTGCAGTACACACCAATACTTATATGCTAGATGATCAACCTTTTCTGATTCCACAACATTTCTTTCACAATGCAATCGCATGACCGTAACTGTTCTTTATCTTTAATGACAAGCTAGTCTTTGTCATGTTCAAAACATTGCTCACAATTATTTTAAAGAATAGCAGCGAATAAAGACGTACTGAAGCTTTACGTTTTACAATCTTACAAGTGAGCGAAAGAAGTAATAAAGCTTAAATTGGATAATGTTGGAAATTAAGGAACACATCAATGCTTAAAATGACAGGATAGAAACAGAATTCAAAAGAATGAAGCTTGCACGAATAGGACTCCCGGTGTATGGTGCCCATGCCTTCTCTCCAGTTGCTCCACATCTATGGAACTCCCTCCTATTCTTTGGATACCGACAAGCTAGAAAGCTTACGTCGGGTCTCGAAACCTATTTTCTCAAGCAAATGTGTAGTCCATGACTATTGGAGGAGCGGGCACCTTTGAATGTTTGAAATATATGGATTACCATCATTAATGTTCTGCTCTTTTGTTGTTTTTCAGATAACTGGAGTGCAAAGGCAAAGCGCCGAAAGACAACTGGCACTGGCCGCATCAAGCATCTTAGGGCAGTCAACAGGAAATTCAGGTAAGGGCTCAGAATACAGTGAAACCTGTATCAGAATACAGTGAAACCTGTATATAAAGACTGCTCTAGGGAAACATGAAAAGTGGTCTCTATAGGCAGGTGGTCTCTATGTACAGGTTTCAATGAGAAACCATATTTAAGGGAAACAAAAAATGTGGTCTTTCTAGACAGGTAGACATCAAAGAAGTTGTACATAAAGTATAGGAATCAGAATAATATTCACGTAGGTGTCGGAAAAGAGGTCCCTTTTATCGGGTCATTCCATGTTATCTCTTATGCTTTTGGTATGATTAATTGTATTGTTTGAACAGTAGTTGTAAGAACTGCTGACAATCATCTAAAATTGCAACAATTATTGCAAAATATTGGAATTTCTGGATTGGAAATACAAGCTTTATCATACACCAAAAAATAGTTTTATGAGTATTGCTCTTTTTTCGCCAAATACGGCTGAAGAACAAAAATGAAGTGTCTCTCGTCCACCGCCTCCTTTTTTAAAAACTATTTACTATTAAGAAGAAGAAAAATTGCCTGTGATATACATTGTGTTTAAATTTAAATAGCCTCTAAAGTGATACAAATCATTTGTTTTGTTATACATTGCATCAGTTTACTCACATTGCACAATATCTGTGAATAAATAGGCTTGGCCAGCTATAATTAGCATGGCAACCATATTGGAAAAAAGAAGTAAATAGTAATGCCCTGCCTCCTCCTTTTCTTTTAAAGCCCCTACGAGAAACACATTATTTTGTTATTAGGCCTAATAAAAAAAATGTCTTTAAAGATGTGATGTTTACTCAACTCCTCGGTTATTATGAATATGAACCATCTCTTCTATATAAGTGGTCCCTCAGAAATCCTGAATGATGTTATAATCCCTCTTTGATTTTTGAATTCTCTTCCATTTCCTTACAGTAATGGATTCCGTGAAGGCACTAAGCCCAAGCCCAGAGCACGTGGCGCAGCCTCCACATAGACGTTAGTACCACAGACATGGCCCACTACAGACTTTCTACCAAGACAGCAGACAACAACACTCAAAACCAGCAGACTTATCACAGATCAATTCTCATTGTAAGATGTGAATAAATCATCACAAAAACAAACGATTGGTTTCCAATTTTCTTACTTATGTTGTCAATTTTCAGTTAAGTATTTGAGAGATTTATTTGCAAAACTTGGTCTTTAGATCACAAGAGAAACTTTCAATTTAAATGGCGGTAATTTAAAATCTTGTGATATTTTTGTGATCTGAGAGATACTTGATATGTACAAAACTGGAAGAACTAGAGGTGTATTTGTGAGATTTTTCAAAATGTATAAAGTCTTGAAAGTAATATTGTGTATACTCCGTGAGAGAGAGTTTATTGCTTTGGGAAGGGCCTTTTAAAGCCCCTCTAAAAGTGGAGCCCCAAATTCACAAAATATCTGATTGAAAGATTTCACTTGAATTGTATCATAATGTGAAAGAGGGTGTCGTTGAGACACTTATGCAAAAATTTCCCATTTTGAAGACAAATATTGATAAACAAAAATATAATTTTGGTTTTCTGTTGTGTGCAGAAAACCTAAATCTTGTATTCTTTCATCAATATTCGACTACAAACACATTTTTTATGAAAATCCTTGCAGGTCTTTATCTCGAATGGCATCCTATCACATTACGATACAATTTAAGTAAAATTTTGTTATCAAATTTTTGGGGCTCCAAACTCTTTAGAGAGACAATTTGTAAAGGCTTCTGGTTTACAGTACCCTGTACGTAGTGGAAGTGTGTGGCTGTTGCACAGGATGAGACTGTGATGTATGACGAGTGCGTTTTGAATGAAAGATGGAGTAGCAAAATGTTCATTCCAATTTGGGGGGAAATCCATGGTCTTAAACTTAAAGACCACACAACCAAAACAAAATGAGTTATCTTGAAATCGGGGAGGGAGATTAATACGGCTGTGTCAGGGGAAGAACCTAAAACGTACATGTTACTGCCGTGCCTGAATGTGAAGTGGGATAGAAATTCGACCCATTATAAAACGGATCGAAAAAGTTGAGGACAAAATACAGTAACTTCTTGGAGTGAGTTATAAAATTTTGACATTTTAGTTCAAGAATAAGTCTCAATGGAATTAGCATTTGGGTCAAGATGTGTGATGTCATAGAAGGAAACTGTCATGTTCTGTGTGGTGGATACTTAAATGGATAAAAATGTACATTAAAAAAAAAAAATGATATAATTTTCTGATGATATTAATACAAGTCCCACTATAAATGAATACTGGTGTCACAACATTACTACTTCATCATCGCAATATCATCTTTTGAAAGATGTTAGATATATCATTAAATTGAAAAACGTATGAAAGTTTTTGTGTGCCATTTCTCGAAACTGGCATAAGTCTAAGTTGACATCCTGTAGAAACATGTTTTAATTCTATAACACATGTTTCAATAGGATGTCCAAGAAGTTAGACTTATGACTGTTTCGAGAAACGGCCCCCAAACTTCCAATAGTTCATTATCATACACTACAGTTAACACACATACAAAATACATGAAATCAAATATAATTTGTGTTAAACAATTTTAATTTTCAATAAATACATAACTTCCAAACGATTGGGATTCTAACCACTGCAAACAAGTTATCACATTATAGTCCTCTCTCTCTCTCTCTCTCCATGTGCCTTCCTCCTCTCTCTTTCTCTTCCTCTTCAATTGTTCTTTCTTTGCCATTTGATTGGGAGGGGTAATGCCCCCCCCCCTACATGTCCCTTAGCCATGGCACTGTTTCATCTTGCATCAACATTGGTATCCTCGGCATCATGTGACCAACGTAGCCCATGTGACTGAGAATCAAAACGGACGCTTCCCAAGATCTATACGCATTGGCCTGTCATGCAAGCTCCTGCTGGGTTTCAGGTGGTGACGGAATCCAAACCACTGAAATTAAGAGTGATGACAGAGGGTAGGCCTGAAGAGGTTGCTCAGGAGTTCTGCAGTCCTGAAGGTCCCAGAGGTTTTCCAAGATCTTCAAGCATTGGCCCGTCATGATTGCTCCTGCCGGGATGTGGGTAGCAGAGGGCTTCCCACTACTGGACTTGTTTGTGATGATGTCATCTGCGGCTGAAGATGTTGTTCTGCAGTACGGTGGTCAAAAAGTTACAAGAGGTTTTCCAAGATCAGGAATATCTCGTCATCTTGGCTCCTGCTGGGGTTCGGGTGGTAACGGTATCCCAACTACTGAACTTGTGGGTGACAACAGTGACTGTGCCTTGAGGCGTTGATCTGGTGTACAGTAATCCTAAAGTTATTGCAAATGAAAACAAGAATTCTTATGACTTTTTCAACAATTTACGCAAAGTTGCACAATCAGTGTTAAATCTTAAAACGCGTACCATCCCAGTAAATGCTTGGTGGCCATGGCTAAATACTCACTGCTAAGTTCATGAAATTATTATGTAAACTAAACTAGAAATGTAATGAAAGACTTGAGAATTGAACATGATTCAAATCAAGAAGAGTAAAAGTGAGGTGAACATATTCTTCATGGATCATGAAGCTCAAGATATTTTTGAAAAGAATTGATAGACTAGGGCCCTATCTTACAAAGAGTTGCAATTGATCCAAATCAATCTCAAGTTTGCAATCTTTTATCTCCTCTGTACATAGTTGCGATTGATATTAAATCTGAGATACACTTGCCTTACTTGTTATCAGTGTCTGTGATATGGTGTAATATTGAAGCCCTTAAAAAAAATGTAATTCAAAATGATCAAGAAATGCCTCAAAAAAGTAAAAATCTTTGAGTGACCGGTTTTACCACACTCGTTTTCCCCAATAGACGGTAGTGTTACGAAAACCGTTTGGCAAACGGTTTTCAAAATTTGTAATTCCAATCATAAATATCTTGATAATCAGACAGGCGATCGGCTTGTAAAAGTCATGGGGTTCCTGACTGACCTAAAGGTTCATAATTATCATTGCAGCATGAGCTAAATCCAGAATTTTGTTTCAGAATCTGAGACAAAGTTGCCGGATCCCTTTAACTCTTTGTAGGACGGGCCCAGTTGTGTTGAATATGGATCTGAATATTAAACTCGATCTTGACTTCAGGTACTGAAAACTTGCCAAATTATTGACTTGTATGTAAGCAACAGCTCATACACATAAAATGCATTCATCAGGTAGATGCTTCAAATGGGAAACCCATCGTGATATTAAGTTGGTTTTAATAGAAGCAGAACAACGAGTAGAACAGGTCAGTAAAAAATTGAGCAAAATCCAATTAGGAATGAGGAATTATTGAAGTTCCAATCAAGCAAACACAAAAAAGGGAACTCTGTGACATATCTTGCAAGGACCTTTCAAAATTCACAACATTCCTATTTTTAATAGGACATTGCTCAAACTTTCACTCATATATTTTTCTCATTTTGCTGCCAGCTAATTATCAGGGTGGACTTCCTCTTTAACAAGATCATGAGCTTGTTTGTAAAAATGGATTTTCATGAAAAAACAAATCTAACAAGGCCTCACCCCATCGTCATAAAATTGATCTGTAAGTAAAATACTAACTTTCATCAGACTCAAACAAATATTGAAAATCATTTCAAATTAACAAATGAATTAATAACCTCCTTATAACAAATTCTTGGGACCGGCCGTCTGGTTGCTTACTAACAAGCATTTATGCTTTCTTAGCAGTCAGGGAAAATAACCACCACCACGAAAGTATCTTCTTGGATTGAAACCTGGTTATATCAGGGTTAGAAAAAGAAGATGAAACAGCAAAAATTACCTAGTTTTGTTTTTTGTGTAATTTATTTTTTTTGTCTGACTGCTAAGAAAGCAGGTGTATGTTTGTTCGCGATCAACCAGGGGACCAACAGCTTCAAGTCATTCTCAGAGGGACGTGGTATGCCTCACCAGAGGATACTCATGCATTAACTTGGTTTTGAACCAACGACCCCCTGGTTAACCCTATTTTAACTGGGCTATTTCAGACCAGGTTTTTACTGGGGGGGGGTCAATTTGACCCCCCTTAAGATCTCGGCCGTTTCACGGCCGATCGCTGCGAAAATTTGCATACATGTTAAGTGAAGTGTATAGAATGATATGGTAATTTCAATTTTTTGAAAAATTCACTCATTTACATATTTATGGTAATTTATGCAAATGAGGTCATAAAATTCACATTTTTGCCCATAAATCATACATTATTGATATTTAAGCATTCTTTTTCACTACATATATTTGTTAGACCCTTTGGAATAATAATACAACACAAAAAATTAGAAGAGCCAGGTTATTCCTTATGTTATCTCTTGTTTTGATAATTTCTTATGTATTTCATTGTTTTTTCAACTTATGTATTTTTTTGTTTTTGTTGTTTTATTTCATTTATAACTATAATTCAACTATTTTGACCCCAAAACAAACACCCAAACTTTAAACAAGACTAAATAACCAATGTTTTATCTCTTTTTAGGAAAAATGACATTTCCATATGTTTTGTACACAAATCACAAAAATGAGCGATTTTCGGGCTGACATGCAACAACAAAATGTCACGTGACTCCGTAACTATACGTCCGATTTTCGAAAAAATTGTTTTAAAAGATGCGTAAGACTCGAAAGAAAAAAGTCATGAAAGGAAAATTTTATATCTGCCGCGGTTTCGGAGTAGTCGCGAAATTTCTACAGGGGGGGGTCAAATTGACCCCCCCCCAGTTAACGTAGGGTTAAAAGACCACTGCTCCACCACTGAGCAACTGCATTGCACCTCGATGAGGTGTGATGTTATGTACTGCAATTTGAAAAGAATTAGCACTCACTTGTGAAAGAATAAAATGGGACACATACCTGGAGAAAGACGTTGGCTAGGTTACTCGTTCTCTTGCTGCTTGACCCTGTAAACCTCTGCATGCACTCAACAATAGAGGGTGCTGTGATTTCTGCAAGACAGAAAAATCATTTAAAGAAACAAACTAATATAACTTAGCGATCAAACCTAGAGAGGGTGGGACAAGAACAGTTTGTAAGTTAAGGAATTGCAGAGGTCTTTTATATCTCTTGCAAACTCCCCTCCCCCCCCCCCCCAAAAAAAAAAAAAATGATATTGTGGAGTGCCAGGAGTGTCAAGTCTAACAGACTTAAGCACTATACAAGAACCCACTATTATTATTATTATATCACTGGTCACAGTTTTCCAGAATGGGAGGGGGCGCATAAGCTCTATGCACCCTTTCAGCCCCCAGCCTCCATATTTGCATCAATCATTCACCGATTCAGATTGCAATTGAATGATTTGTCTCTTACTTTGAGTGAATACTAATACCGAGGCATGTTTGGCAACTAATATGGGAGGGGGGAATTCAAAGTCAAAGAATTTTTTCATGACATTGGCAACAATTTTTTGAAAAAATATAAATAATATACAAGTTGTAATTACCTTCTTTAGAAGCTGGTGTCATGAGGTACATTAGAGTAGTGATGGCCGACAGTACAGTCTCTTCATTAGGACTAGAAGAAAATATGACATATGGTCAAGATTAACTCTTATTTTGAGTGTGGGTACTGACAATTTGCATTCTAAGAACTAGCTAAACATTCCAGCAGTTTTGGAATTCACAATACAAAGTTTCTAAGTTGTAAAAGAACAAAATAGTGATTTTTTTTTTTAAATACGGGGTACTTTATTTTGATAATGTTTTCATGAAGATAAAGGGATCCAGGTATACTATCCCCCTAAAGATTATGTTGTAGATCTTGGACTAACTTTCTTTGCTTAACTTGATTTTAGATACAAGTTCCCTTGGAGTACTCGGGAGTACAGATTACATTTTAGTAGAATATCAGAAATTATGTTATATTTGACACAATAGTATGATTAAGAAAAAAAAACATTATGATCTTTTGACATATGGTGTTGTACAGGAAAACAATTATATGATATACTTCACATAAAATGAAAACTGACTTTGTCTGTTACCGGTATTTACATATTTATTACACATGTAGGTAGTTGACACCAATATATATGACCTTTTACTCCTTTTTATGTTGTGCACCAATATGGTTCATTTCATATTTCTTAAGTCATTACTTCATCTCACCTTGACAAGCAATCTTTTACAAGAGAAACACCATCGTTTGCTAGAATATGAGCCTTGTTCTCCTTATCTAGGAAAAATAAAAAATAAATAAAGGCATTTATGAAGTGTGACAACCATATCAAATGTAGACGCCTAGATGGAGGTAATTAATTTGTCTCTATATACACGCACATATTTTGACACATATAATGTGAGCTACAAATTATCTTCAATCTAAAAATGATAGAAAATGACCCTATTTGTGATTTTAAAAAATAAACTTTCAAACAAAGCTATAGAATATTTATCCAATGAAGATGGAGGGGGTTGTAAAACTGAACAGGCCATAATCTCCAAGTGACAGACATTGCTGGTAAATTTCAAGGGGTTATCAAACCCCCTGTATTCTTTAATTACTATGTTTTTGACAATGATTCTTAACATCCCCTTACCTAGAGCAAGATTGCAGAGTCCGCCGATACCAAACTCGACAAGCTTTTCTGATGGTTCACTCAAGGTATCTGTCAACAACAACAAACAAAAGAAATCAAAACAAAAGAATAAAACAAAACAAATGAATACAACTGAGTCAGGAAACAAAGAAAAAGCTTCTGAAGAAACTGTAATCCTGTTTTGACATCAAGGTCCTGTTTCATAAAACAAGTTACAATAACTGTTATAACTAAGCTACTGAAATTGTGGCATTTGATCAGCTGATCGAGTGCAAATACGTCATAGAAATTTAGCATTTGTTATTGATAACAAGTTCATGAAACAGGGCCTTGGGGTTTAGATGATACAACACAAGTGGCAGTGACATATGACATTGACATTTATTCCCATGGCCATGTTACAAAGGGTATTGGAGAATTCAATCATGCAAATAATAATAAATTGTCTTCAATACAGAAATTCAATGACATATCTAATGGGTCTCCTACACTGTTAAAATCTGTCAAGTCACCAAATTACAATACATATCAAGTTTGCTTGTTTTCTCTTTTATTTTCAACACTTTTTTATAAATACCACCAAAAAAAAAATACTGTTTGATGTGAACAAAAATATTAGTATAAAATTTTAAGTACACTGATACACATTTGTGAAGGTACCGGTAAAGAGGCAAGCCCGATTTAGAGACTGTGGCCCTTTTTTTTCTCTTTCTTTTTTTATATTCAAAGATGTGATATGAGCATCAAAAGCATGAAATTTAACTGTTGAAAGTGACAATGAACACTGCATTGAAATAATATCATGGTCTTATGATATAGCCAGAGGATTGTAAACATTTGTTTTGTTAAATCAACAAATAAATGCTTTACTTACCTAGGAATAGATCCATCACATTCAACTGTCTGATATGTTCATAGTTCAAGGGGTCATAGGCAAAGTTGGCCAAATTTGCCAGCACTTGCTCTCTACAACCTGTAAATGAATTCAAACAGTAAACAATGTTTGTCAATGTTTTGTATAGGTTCGCTTACGTCCAACAAGAGAGAGAGAGAGAGAGAGAGAGAGAGAGAGGGAGAGATAATGCAGAGTTATAGGGATCACCTCTTCACAGTTGTGAAAAGAAGACAGCTTCAGTGGTTTCAGCATGTAACTAGATGTGAGAATAGCTTGGCAAACATCATCTTGCAAGGAGGAACTGATGGGAGAAGTATGAGGGCAGACCAACTGGACTGATAACATCAAGCAGTGGATGATGGGAATATCATTTGGGCGGCTAACTAGAACAGCTGAAGACATGAAGGTTTGGAGTACCTGTGTCTCAAGGTCCATTTCATTGTCGCCCCAACGGCCTCAATGCTATGGGACATAGACATGACAGATGGATAGATAGAGATAGATATGGATACAACAAATAATAATACCACTATTAAATATCCCTTTGGTCAGTTTGGAGGATAATAGAGAGAAGTCAAGAGTTATAAAATACAATTCAAATCAAATACCAAATAAACTGAAGAAAAAACTGCCATTAATTGAACAAATGAATTTTCTGTCTCTTTAAGAATTTGTCAAATTGTGTCTACCTCATTTTCCAACATCAGTTGTAGACTATATTTGGAGTTTTACTTCGAGTATGAGGGTATACCGTATAGATCAGGCCTTCTCAACTAGTTTATTAGAAGCGCCAAAACAAAAATTTATTGTGGTTGAAGTGCCAACCTGTATGTTTGGTGACTGTGTTGCGAGGGAGCGTAGCGACCGAGCCGATACCGGGTGGGGTTCAGGGGGCGAAGCCCCCGGAAGCTAGTGTATTTTAGGGCTTAACCCACGGTTTTTCTGATTGTTCGGGAACGCATATGGATGGCGCCCCGCCGCTCGCTGACTTTTTTCTTTTGAGTCTTGCGCAACTTTTAAAAGAATTGTTTTGAAAATCGGACCTACGGTTACAAGGTCACGTGACCTTTTGTCTTTGCATGTTAGCCCCAAAATCGCTCATTTTCCTGATTTGTGTACAAAACTATGGAAAAGTCATGTTTTCCTAAAAATAGATCAAACATGGGTTATTGGGTCTTGTTTAAAATTTAGGTGGTTGTTTTGGGAGTCAAAATAGTTGAATTGTAGTTAGAAACGAGATAAAACAACAAAAACAATAAAATACATAAGTTTAAAAAACAATGACATACATAAGAAATTATCAAAACAAGGGATAACATAAGGATTTAGCTGGCTCTTCCAATTTTTTTGTCGTATTATTATTAAAAATGATCTAATGAATATATGTAGTGAAAAAGAATGCTTAAATATGAATAATATATGATTTATGGGTGACAATGTGATTTGTATGACCTTATTTGCATAAATTACCATAAATATGCAAATAAGTGAATTTTTCAAAAAATTGAAATTATCATAGTATTCTATACACTTCACTTGACATGCGTGCACATTTTTGCGGAGATCGGCCGCTTCACGGCCGAGATCTTATGGGGAGGGGGGCATAATGCCCCCTCCCTCCCCCCGGCCGTACTAAGTAGACCTCAAATAGCCCGGCCTTTTTAGGGTTAAGGCCCAGATGTGGCATTTTTAACACCTTTTTGTTCCATAAAACATCAATCATAATTTCATATTGATGTGAAATAATAAGTAGAATTCCTGAAGTTTTTTTATTTTAAATTATAATTTTTTAATTTGTTTTCTCTTTAATTTTTGAATTTTAATTTGTATTTATTTTTTATTAATTTTTTGGAACAGCCGCGCGCCACTCTGACTGACCGCAAGCGCCACGAGTGGCGCGCGCGCCGCCAGTTGAGAAGGCATTTCTGGATGGGGAATAGTCTAGATCCACTCTATTAGTTAATAATAATATAGGGTCTAATGAATCGTCTTTTAGTTAGTGATTAGATCTATGTCACATTAGTTTCACGTACGTTACGATCTAGGGTTTTGATATGTTACAATTGCATGAATTCTGTATAGGGTCTATGTTGTAAATAGGTGTAATTCTATGATATGAACAATTAGAATTACAGTCTAGATCTAGATCTAGGTCTAAATAAAGTCCCTCGAATTCGAAAGAGGATAGATCTAAATAGACCTAGAAAGAAAAAAACATACCATCGTCTTGTGTTTGTTGAAACTCGGTCACCAAGTTTTGTAAATGCTGTAATCTACCAATCCCATCGACTGGTGTGCGAGCTTCAAGCCTTTCCCTTGAGCCAAACATGGTTTCATAAGTTCAACAAGTTGTATCGGTACTCTCTGGAAAAGCTTGTCCGAAACTGTGAGGCCGAGATCACGCCTTCGTGCTCGCCCTTTATGTTGCTAGCTAGCTAACTCTAATCCATTTAGCTAGCTAGAGGCATGGCACGGCGCGCGCTTTTGCAATGTTGATCAACAAATCTGCACGTGCTTGCGCGCGTTCAAATGTTGCCAATCTTTAAATTTAATACAAAAATATTAAATGCTTATTGATTCATGTTGATAATTTCTTTTTAATAATATAATACTTGTAATAATCTATTTTCAATTTATATTTTATGATTAATAAAATTGATAACAATTCATACATAAAAAGAACCGTACAAATATTATAAATACTGACAAAGCTTGAGCAATTGACCTCGAATATGAGCCCGAAGTGAACCCGAACGGCGTCGGAATAATTCGGCACGTAAACACGAGATAGATATCGAGAAACTTACGAGCTGAAAAAACAAAATGACGACCATAAATTCAGGAGTCAAAATTGGACACTATGTCCTCGGTGAAACAATCGGGATGGGGACATTTGGCAAAGTAAAAAGTGAGTTATCTTTTGGAAACATGACGTATGAGTTTTGTGAATTTTGTGAGCGTGTTTGATGTTTGCAGAGTTATTTCATGATCGTGATCGTGCGGGTGATAACACGCCCACTCCAACGCATTGCAGAGGCTGCCCTCGGCACGAGTGCACACAGGTACGCCGTACGGTTAACCTGGGCGCAGTGCACTGGACTAGCTGGAAGCGTCAGTGCAGTGCAACATTCAATGATTCAGCTAGCAGCTGTAACATGATGTAGAATTGTAATCTGTGATGTTAGACCTTAGGTTAAGGGAGCTAATGTACTTACGTACTGGGCGCGTACGTGCCTGCTTCATTCTGTTCCACGTCACCCGCAAATTTTCAATCAATATTATTAGTTTAGTAGATCTAGAAGTCTAAATGGCCGATCTAAATCTAATAGACCTAAGGTCTAAGGAGTAAGGTCTAGACTCTATTCATAAATTTATTGATTAACGGAGTGGCAATTATTTGAATTAATGTACTTTACTGTATGTAGATCTAGATTCTAGTCTTAAATTTACTTTATAGAGTCTAGGACTAGGGTCCATGTCCAGACGTCAGACCTACCAAGTCTCACGCATCTGAGGTGTTCACCGATTTGTTTGATGCTGTCTTTAAGTTTATTTTCATTTTTTCCTTTTAGTTGTTGGTCAGCATGTTGACAATGCATTTGACTGAACATTTTGAAATGAGGTCTCGGAAAAGAAGTGCAATTTGTAGTGTTAGCTGTTTGAAAGTATGAGGGCAAACAAGCTATAAAACCTAAGACTTTAACTGAAGAGAAAAATAAGGAAAAGGAATTTTTAGGTGCCTTTGTAGTTTACTCCAAAAAAAAATGTCAAAAGTTGAACAAAATAAACTAGGTTACAGCCGCCTTGCTCAAATAACGAAACTAAATGATGATGTTTTTTTAATTCAAGAAACAAAACAGAGAAATGAGCTTGAATGTGAGGAGAAATTGGTCAAATTTTGTGTTATCAATATCACTTTTAATTGAGAAATTCAGAGCGTCAAAATAACATTTCTCTTGATGATGCGAGTTATTAACCACAGAACATGAAATTTGATTGCTCTTTGCTGGTGACATACATGTTTATATTTATCTAATATGAGAAGTGTTCATATTTGAATTGGATACCGTAATCAGTTGTTATCTGGTGATTGTTTTCATAACATCTGGTGACAGAAAAAGTAAAATATAATTTGGTTCTACATGCATGTCCTTTTCTTATCTCATAAAATAAACACCTTAGGGGGGAGGGTATATTTACTTATATTTAGTAAATATTTATGTGCCATCCTTTTTTTCCTTCCCCTTCCCCCTCTAAAGTGGGTGAACATCTATTGACCCAGCACAAGGTGGCCATCAAGATTCTTAACAGACAGAAGATCAAGAACTTGGACGTGGTCAGTAAGATCAAACGAGAAATTCAAAATATGAAACTCTTTCGCCATCCTCATATTGTCAAATTGTAAGTATCGTGTGCATTATTCCGGTAAGAAGGGGGCGGGCAGTGGCGGGTTGGGGGCGGGGCGGGGGCGGGGCGGGGGCGGGGCGGGGGGATGTTACTGTTAGTCTCCATAGTGTGCCAATCACCAAGCAGTATTTTGTTCTGTATGTTTATAGTTGTTCCATGTTGTATTAATACTACATATTCAAAATATGGACTTAAATATTACTTCTGAAAGAGATCTTGCAAGTTAAATACACTCTCATCAATTATTAAACATAAAAGCAACTGTTTAGTACCGGTAGACTACCCAACGCACCTTTACATTCTGTCTTGAAATAGGCCCTGCATGTAACCCATGCCCGTATGGGTCCCATGCACATAGTTTTGTGTTAGTTATTCTTGATATTCTTCATAATCCTTATCTATTAGCACAAAGAAAGTCAGGTGATCTTTTAATTTTTGATTCAGATTGAGTTGAGGGTTGATTCAAACTGAAAACAAATATTTATTTTAGCTGATGGTGCAGTTGTCCAAACAACCCTTCTCTACGCAATTTCACCCTCCAAAATAATTGTTCCTTTACTGAATCTTTCTTGTGTATTTTAATAATGGGTCTTGATTTTGGTTCAAATCACTTTCCTAAACTCATTTCTTATTTGCTTGGCAGGTATCAGGTTATCAGTACACCCACAGATATCTTCATGGTGATGGAATATGTGGCAGGCGGAGAACTCTTTGATTATATCGTCAAACATGGAAAGGTGGGTAGTCTAACTTATAATGAATTTCCTCTTGCTACATGTATATGATATGATAGGCTTACTTCAAGTCATACCTGTAAGGGCATCGTTTCACGAAAAAGTACAAGTTCACCAACATCCCATTGAAATACATGTATTAAGTTTAATGCGCGTTTTAATGGGATGTCGGTGAACTTGTACTTATGATGGTTTCATGAAACGATGCCCAGGTCATCACTTCCGTTCGGGTGGTCGCGTAACATGACCTTTCGAAGATTTGCCGTAGCGTTTTTCACAAAGTGTCAGGTAACTTGGACCAGATCATTTGTAGATAAGGGGTTTATTTCACAACTATTACCCTGACATTTCATGCATAAATGGGCATACTTTCACAAAAGGTTGGGTAACGCAACCACCCGACCAGATGTGATGGCGTGATGATTCAAAGTGAGCCATATGATAGGACCTTCCGGGGGTCACCCTTCCTCTAATTGATGACCTTCTTGATTTACATTTTGTCCACCAAGTAAAACTGATGCTTCCCCCCCCCCCCCCCCTATTGATTTGACAAGTGGCCATTTAATTCAGGATCACAATCATCTTGCACAAAGTGATTGCACAAACCACATTTGTATGTATTATAATTTATTGCCAATGTAAATTGTTCATTATTCAGCCATCTGGCTGCGAAGTGCAATCAATAAAACCTTTTCAATCTCAACATCTCAAGAGGTACATGATTTATATTGCCAGAGCAGTGCTTCACTCTGGTTCTTTCCATTACAATATATTGCTTAATATTAAATCGATCTAGCTTATTAAGAACTGTATGCTTGGAATCACATGAAAGGTTAGGAGTTACAATCAGCCTTTCTGTTCAGTACCTCAGCAAATGTGTGCATTTTATATTTTAGTGCATTGTACTTGTGGGAATTATGTGGGAATTATGTGGGAATTATGTGGGAAATTCCAAAATGTATATTACATAGATGTACATTTTCTTTGTATGTGGAGATGCAGATGGGCAAGAATTTCTTTTTTGACCTTAACTTGTTTGCTAATATTCTCTTCTTGTTTGCATTGTACACACAGATAGGTCAGGGCAAAATTTATTTGTTACTAGATTGCAATCTAAATGGGATAGAGAGAAAGAGAGAGAAAGAAAGAGATGTGGAGAGATGGGGGTGGGGTGGAGGGAGATGGAGAGAGAGAGAGAGAAATGGGGTGGGGTGGAGGGAAAGGAAAGAGAGAGAGATGGGGTTGGGGTGGAGGATGGGGGGGGGGGAGAGAGAGAGAGAACGGGGAGTGAGAAAAAGAGAGCAGGCCTGTAGGCAATTGTGGTTCTGATAATTGTATTATTCAAGAATACCTGTAGTAAAATTATACCCATAATAAATGTGCATGTACATGTACTGTGCAACACTTTATCCAGGATAAAGGGGGGGGGGGCAGAGATTAAGGTCCTCAACTCAATTGAGATTGAGTTGGTATTTCAGCATCAAACAATAGTTTGAAAGCTTAGTGGTATTTATTTACTATGCCTCCTACTAAAGAAATGGCAACAATCCCAATCAAATTACAAAATACAGTAATAGAGCAAATATATTAAGATCTTCTAACCACGTCGTAATGCTTTTCTCACTATATTTCCCCGAACAGCTGAAGGAGCATGAAGCAAGACGGTTCTTTCAGCAGATTATTTCCGGTGTGGACTACTGCCATCGTCACATGATCGTTCACCGTGACCTCAAGCCAGAAAACCTTCTACTTGACCCCAATCTTCATGTCAAGATCGCCGACTTTGGTAGGTCCAAGAATTTCTAGCCGCTTTTGGCATTCCTCTGTTTCTCTCGTTTCCAACTCTACCAGAGAATAGATGCCTGTTTTCTTTATGGTCATATTTTGCTAATGAGTACTTCATTGATCTTTATGAGTTTGAAATATATTGAGAGAACATCGCGATATTGTTTTTTTTTCTTAAGTTAACCAGTCTTGATAGAAAATTAATTCCTTGAATACTAGAGTGCCATTAATGGCAACCATACTAAAGCAGGGGTAATAACTGTGGAGCCCCAGGAGTGTGAAGCATAACAGACATGAGCGCTTTATAAGAACACAATATTATAAGTAGTAGTAGTAGTAGTTACTATACATCAGGTTTTGTTTACTTTCTATTCCTGTTATAAATAAACTGTCAACAACTCTCGTCTTGTGTATGACTCTTGGTTGCAGGATTTCATTGTGATATCCTTATCTCTTTTTCTGTTTTGATCAGGTCTGTCTAACATGATGACCGACGGAGAGTTCTTACGGACAAGCTGTGGGTCACCCAACTATGCCGCACCGGAGGTCATATCTGGCAAGTAAGTTGGGTCAAAGGTCACCAAAACACTCTATATTATGTGCAGTGTGTGCATTCTGTACACCGGTTCTAGTACTCAGCAAACTTTTTGGCCCGAATTCACAAAGCAAGGTTTGAGCTCAGACCAAGGTTTGAGCTCAAACCTCCTTTTGTTTCGCCAAACCTCCTTTTGTTCTTTACAAACCAGGTTTGTAAAAAATGCGTAAAACGCGTCATATGACGTACGAAAACCAAGGTTTGTCGATAAACCTCCTTTGTGAATTCGGGCCTATAAGTCTGATTTTCAAATTTCAAAGGTACAATTTCTTCACCGAGGCTTTTGATTATAACTTTCATTTGCAACATATATGGATGTTCCTACAAATTGATCATTCCTGATATATTTGTATACATTTTCAAGCTAAAACTATATACTGTCCAAACTAAATCAAGTCTGCGATGTACTGCTATTAATGAAATATCGCGCATGCTCCCTAGTAGTTGTATTAACTATGAACAGGTGAATATGCATGCGACACCTGTTCTACACATTTTTACATAATAGCAGTGAAGGGATGTCCCTTTGTCTACCACAGCAATTGTTGAGGGTAGAACGAGGAACTGTATATTTTGTCCTCTTTCTTTGTCCGTCATGTTCATAGTGATTGTAGGTCTACATTAATGATGCTAATAATAATTAGATTTTACATTGATATATTGCTTTGCATGAATACTTTAATGTTATAATGTTAAAAATTATTACCCCTGGTAAGTGGTCTTCAACCCTTCAAAGTGTGCACCATCTCCACTCCCTAGGGAGTATCCCTACCATATTGCATCGTATGTTTGCTCATGTATGGATGTTCATAAGGTCTCTTTGTTTCAATGTGTGTTTTATTTCATAAGGCTTTATGCAGGACCCGAGGTGGATATCTGGAGCTGCGGAGTGATCCTTTACGCCCTCCTGTGCGGCACGCTACCCTTCGATGATGAACATGTTCCCACGCTCTTCAGAAAAATCAAAGGTGAGATCATGTTCATGTGGAAAGATGTATAGTGATGATGAATGAGAGAAATTGTGTGGGGAGGGGGGAGGGAAGGAGAGGGGGAGGGAGGGAGAGAGAGTGCAGGGAGGGAGGGCAGGGAGGGAGAGAGGGAGGTAGATGGATCGTAAGTTGACCAAATATGATGAGTGGATGACAGATTGATTCATACCTGATGTCGCTATGTAAGTGTGTGTCTGACAGGGGAATATGGAATGATATGGAGGTACTTTATAAAGGACTTCAATCACATCTTTCTGGCATGTTATTGTGTATTCATTCATGTCTTTATTTCTCATTCATGTCTTTATTTCTCATTCATGTCTTTATTTCTCATTTATGTCCACTCCAGGCGGTCATTTCACAATCCCAGACCATATAGAGCGTTCCCAGGTCAAGAGTTTGATTCAGCACATGTTACAGGTAGACCCACTCAAGAGAGCAACTATTAAGGATATCAGGTAAGGAACAGAAGGTAGTAAGGCCTTGTAAAAAAATATACATGTTAAGCGTCCCCACCCGCTTCCTTTTTAGGGGCCGCCTCCTATTTTTTTTTTTTTTTTTTTTATACCTCCGTTACGAAGTAGCCGGAGGCATTATGTTTTCGGGTTGTCCGTCCGTCCGTACGTACGTCTGTACGTACGTCCCGTTCTTGTGATCGCGTTATCTGAAGAACCGATCGATGGATTCCTGCCAAACTTTGGTCATGTATGTATCTTGCAGAGCCGATGAACTGATTAGATTTTGGGGTCACGAGGTCAAAGGTCAAAGGTCACAGGGCTCATTAGGTATGCAAAAACAGCTCGTGATCGCGTTATCTGAAGAACCGATTGATGGATTCCTGCCAAACTTTGGTCATGTATGTATCTTGCAGAGCCAATGAACTGATTAGATTTTGGGGTCATGAGGTTAAAGGTCAAAGGTCACAGGGCTCATTATGTATGCATAAACAGCTTGTGATCGCGTTATCTCAAGAACCGATTGATGGATTGCTGCCAAACTTAGGTCATGTATGTTACTTGCAGAGCTGATGAACTGATTAGATTTAGTGGTCATGAGGTCAAAGGTCAAAGGCCACAGCACACATTATGTATGCAAGAACCGATTGATGGATTCCTGCCAAAATTAGGTCATGTATGTTACTTGCAGAGCCAATGAACTGAGTAGATTCTTGGTTCATAAGGTCAAAGGTCAAAGATCATGGGCTCATTATGTATGCAAAAATAGCTTGTGAACGCATTCTCATTAGAACTGACAGATGGATTACTATTTAACTCAGGACATCTTGCAGAGCCAATGAACTGAGTAGATTTTAGGGTCATGAGGTCAAAGATCAAAGGGTCATATATTTACATGAGAAATTGCTTGTAATCACGATATTCTGAGAACCTGTCAATGGATTACAATTGAACTTGAATTCGAAAAATTTCTTCTGTTTTGGTTTGTAAAATTGCTCTATGACGGAGGCATCATTTTCGACTGCGTGCAGTCGAATTCCATCTAGTTTTTTTTTGAATTTTTTGATTTTTTGATTTTTCTTAATTTTTTTTTTGATGCTAAAATGGATCTATTGCTGATTTAAAAAAAAAAAAAAAAATGTCGGCTGCCATCTTGAAAAATTGCCCGAATGTCAGGGAAAATGTACCGAGCGGCCATTTTGAGTGGCCATTTTGAAAGACAAAAAAAAAAAAAGGGCCTCCTCCTTCCTATTTTTAAAAAAAACAGGACGCTAAACATGTTTGTTTGTTTTTTTGGCCTAAGTCCCTGTGTACTATCCCAGCGGCGGGTTTAACTATGGAATAAATAGAATATTGGCCTTCCGGCTGCACCAACTCGAAAGTTGAGTGTTTCAAATTAGATGAAGAGTTCTGACTCTAAACACAAAAGTTTATGTAACTCAACTGGTTTAGGATGTTGTAAACACCTCTGTAATGATCTGTTTTTGATTGCCTTCACAGAGAGCACGACTGGTTCAGGATTGATATGCCACAGTACCTCTTTCCTCAGAATGATTTTGATGATTCTATCGTAGATGTGGACGCTGTCAAAGAAGTCTGTGAGGTAAGCCGTCGTGTCTGCTTTGGTGTAACATAACATTTATAAATGCCTAAAAAACGATGACAATATTGGATATTTCTATAGAGTACATGTATTACATGTATATAGCCACCACACACGGTGCTTCAATACCAACCCCGGCTCTGCTAGGTTACCAAGAGCTACCGGTACCCATTCAACACCTGGATGGAGAGTGGCAAATGTAGATTAATGTCTTGCCAAAGGACATTAGTGCTGCAGTGTGACTTTAACAGCGATGCATGTGATCCATAGTCCGAAGTATAAGTTATCTATCATAAGTTTTTAAGTTCAGTTATCGATTTCCTTTTCCTAAGAGTATCAAATGGCAGTATGATGAATTCATGATTTTGCAATAAATTCTTTGATATCTTGTTTTCAGAAAATGTATTGATAAACTTTGATTAATTGTTCTTCTATTCAAATACGATTGTTTAATTTTCTTTGTTGTGTATGCAGAAATTCAACGTGAGAGAAGGTGAAGTCCAGAACGCATTAATGTGCGGTGATCCTCATGATCAGCTGCGGATTGCTTACTATCTCATCATCGACAACAAGAGGATCATGGACGAAGGTTGGTTTCTATCATTATTTTCGGCCATTTTGATCCTCAATGTGTGTTCATCGTCGTGTTCATTTACATATCACATACTATAAGATGATGAAGTGGATTCTAATCAAATGATTGGTTGAGAGCGTGCACGTGACCAGGCATTGATTTTGCCTAACACAGAATTTTACTAATGACCAGTCATTAGTAAATACTTATGACCGGTCATTAGTAAAATCATTTTATAAAACATCATTTTATGAAACAAATAAAACATCATTTAGTTTGGGCATTAGTAAAATTATCCACACTCTGTACCTTTGAAACAGTCCAAAGGTACTTTGTGTGGGTAATTCTTACTAATGCACTCACTGCTGTGTATTATTTTATTATTATTATTATTTATAGACAATTAGAGAATCAGTGGTGAAAGTCAAATTTACGTATGTCTGGAATTCTGTAGACTCTTAATGGAGCACTTCGTCCCATATGTTCACATTCGTGTTTGAGCTTTTTCTTTGCAAGATTTGAAGAAGTACTGATGTGCCATAGGCAAAATAGCATCTGTAGAATCAGAAAATATGCAGTGGCGAATGAAAGAAAAATAAGTTGTTATTTCCTAGTATTTTATTTGAGATATCTGTACATTTCAATGTACCGTATTTGCCGGCGATAAGGCCGCATAGGCCGCACCACCAACTTTGTCATTTCAAAGAGGGGGGAAAAAAAAAGTAATGGACAAAACAAAATAATCGTAATTTTCGCGTAGATCACTATTGTTTTTTTACAAACTGATACCAAATTCATCTATATTCTTATAAATTACCGGAAGTTTAGCTAAAAAATGATCGCAGGCAAATTTGGTATCCGATACCCCTACCACAATGTACGTGTAATGCGAAAATTGCATGAAATGGATACAAAGATCAGAAAATAGACTTGGTGCGACTTCGGCTGGATGCGCAATTGCATTCGTGGCAGCTCCGGAACGGTCCCTTCTTTTACTTTTTAGCATGCATTGGCACGAACTTAGATCAAGATCTATCAGCAGATGTTGTTTTATGAAGTTTATTTTCGTCTTCATGTCAACAATGCAAGATAAAATTGTCGGTAAGATGTGTGGAAATGTCCTGTACCCTAGTGGTATAGTTATTGTAGTCCCATATGTACAAATTTGTGCTGTTTTTTCATGGTTTTGACTTGCGATTTTTTACTCTTTCGCCGCAAAGGCCACACCCCGACTTTTTGATATTTTCTCTTCCAAAAATACTGCGGCTTTTACGCCGGCAAATAAAAACGGTATGCCTAATTGGTGTAATGGTACAATGTCGTTACAAAAATCTAATGTATTTCTTTTCTCTCTTTGTCTCTCTCTCTTTCTTCTTTCTCATAGCTTCTAAGACCCAAATGAAGGATTTCTACCTTGCCTCAAGCCCGCCACCGAGGGAGTCCTATCTGGAAGTCCAAGTAAGTTTCACGCTTTATATCCAGTGGAAAAGGTGCTATATAAATTCCAACTATTAGTAGTCCTAAAAACTCTGTAAGCCTCAGAACCTTCTGCTTGTATATATCGTCGGTGGGGTGACAAAACCTTGTTTCTCAAAAATCATGAATTTTCAGGAGAGCGAAAAAACATTTCCTGTCTCAACGGATTTAGTGCTGTGACACCGTCCTTTGTGTGGAATTTGTGAAAAAACCGAGACAGGAGGCGTTCCATGGATTTATCAGGTGGTGTCGTAGGCCATTAGGTACACAATTATGCAAAAAAATCAAAATCTCAAAAAATTGAGATACAAGGTTTTGTCACCCCACCGACGATATGGTTGATATACTCAGCAACAACATCCCCAAACGTTTTGCATGGTTTCTTTCTACAGATACTTTTACCTTTTACATTACAGAATTCAAATATTTCCCCATGATTAGGCCTCTTCAAAGGTACAGAGAGAACTGGGGTTATTTATTTATTTATTTATTTATTTATTTATTTATTTCGTATTATTCAAACAGGGTAGCCCCGTCAGTAATCAAAGTACTGTTTTCCAGGGGCCCCTGTAAACAAATGCAACATATATGAAGATACAAACTACTTGAACAATATAAACATCATTGAAACATCAATACATAGTAACATATAACAGAAAATAAGTAAAGAATAAGGGGTTAGTCAGCATCATTGTTTCTCAGAGAAGGGAAATTAAGATTGCTTCAGGACCTGCTTTGTGTAATATCTGTTAATAGATTTTGCAAGAATCTTCAGGAGTGAAGGAGGCAGAGTCAATAGAAGATTAAGAAGTTCAAATAAAGAAAATACACTCCAAATAAAAAAGAAAAGCAACTTATAATGTTTCCTGTCTTGACAGTCAATAGTCTGACAGTTTGCGAACATTGCGATGAGACGGTGTTGGTATATATATTTTTATTCTATAATGTATTTTGTATTCTTTTTATAACAGGAAGGAGGTTTCCTTCTACCCAAGGCTCACCCTGAGAGATTAACAAGTGAGTGCAGACTTCACTATGCATGTGATGAAATATTGTTTGTCATTTTTTGTAGAGGTGTCGTGTCACCGGACTGTGGGTCACAAAGTCCGCTGTTCAAGTCCCAATGCGGCACTAATGTCCTTTGGCAAGACATTGATCTACATTTGCCACTCTCCACCCAGGTGTTTAATGAGTACCCGGATGCGAAAGCTAATGTGCTTAGATTAGCAAGTGTGCGCTTGTAAAAATGACGCCTGGCTGGAATGCTCCCCAGGGAGTGGAGAATGTGCATACATTGTTTGCGGGTAAGCCTGAATCCGATGACCGGGGTAAATAATATATATATATATATATATATCTGTAAAGCGCTTTGAGAGCGCTTTGAGAGGGCATTCGGTCCTGAAAAGCGCTATATAAGAACTAGCTATTATTATTATTTTAAAATGATGTACATCTTTAAGATTACATTTTGGATATTCAAAACCATTAGCTTGTTTTTGAATAGTTGCTGTATTTTGTAAATATTAAATTTGTCCAAGGAAGTACAGTATCAATACTGATGAGGCTACTTTTGCTAAAAAAAAAGACAATATTATTACTACAGACAAACCTGCTTTAGCGACCACCTGTATAGAAAGACCATGGTTTTCGTTTCCCATTGAAACCTGTACTTAAAGACCACCTGCATATAAGGACCATTTTTCATGTTTCATTTGAGCGTTCTTTACATGCAGGTTTCACTGTACTACCATGTTGAGACATACTATTCTCAACAGTTACAGTGTGAAATTGATCAAGCTGTCATTTACCCTTTGTTCTTTTCGCTTGTAGCTATGACAATGAACACCCTAGAGAACTTCAACAACCAGAGCTCTGAGAGCCAGCGACGAGTGTCGGCGACGCCCGTCAAGAGGTCAAAGTGGCACCTGGGTATCAGGTCACAGAGCAGGCCACATGACATCATGGGAGAGGTCTTCAGGGCCATGAAAGCGCTCAATTTTGTAAGTGGCCTGGGACCTGTTTCACAAAGCCTTTTTCCAATGACAAAATGACAAAAATCAGTGACAAATCTGCTGATGACCAATCAGAAGCAAGGATTTCAGTAGCTTATAACAAAAACTGTCATTGTCACTGATGACAAGTTTTGTGAAAAGCCCCCCCTGTTCTTCTGGTTATAAAAGTACACAGAAGTTTATACGTGGGGCTATACAGTCATAAATCACTGTGCATAGGTCAGGCAAGACGTTGTTGATAATTTCTTTTACATACATTTACCACAAATTATTTTCAATTTAAAATCTATGTATTGATATAGCCTTTTCAAAGTGGTTTCTAATGACAATTTAATAATAGAATGATGGCAAATGAGTATTGCGTTGTTATCAACATCATTTTCACTATCTTCATTAGCAGTATGTCACTATTATCACCCTAGATCATTTGCAGCAGCATTGCTATCATCACTCTCATCACCATCAGGTAGGAATCCATTCTATGTGAGGGTCAGACGTTCCAACCCGCTGACCGGTCATCATCACAACCACCATTACCCCACAATCATTAGATTATCAATACCATCTTGACATTTTCATAATTGCCGTTCTTTTCGTTATTGATTTTATAGGAATGGAAGGTAGTGAATCCGTTCTACGTGAGGGTCAGTCAAACCAACCCGCTGACCGGTCATCATCACAACCACCACCACCACTACCCCCACAATCATTAGATTATCAATGCTATCTTGTCATTCTCATCATTACCGTTCTTGTCGTTATTGATTTGATAGGAATGGAAGGTAGTGAATCCGTTCTACGTGAGGGTCAGACGAACCAACCCGCTGACCGGTGCTCAGATCAAATTGGGTCTTCAGCTTTACCAGGTGGACAGTAAGAGTTACCTGCTGGACTTTAAGAGCTTGACCAACCCCAGGGACAGTGGCATGACCAACTTTGGTTCTGGTCAGTATAATCATTGTAGTAATACTATACGTTATTTCGGTAGGCAGCCTGGATTTTTACCAGAATTGTGAAATTTATTTGTGCGTGATCTGCATAATATTGATAGGAATGATAATAATAATAATAATCACAAGAGTAATAATAATGATAATAATAATAATAAAGATGGTAATAATAAAAATAAAGATGATAATGGTTATGATTATCCACCTGAAAGAAAATTCTTGAAGCACACTTGTGAAATAAAACAGAAACATGAATTAGGATAAATCAAGTTTTCGCATGCTTAGAAAATTACAAAAGTTGGTAAGGGTATGAATAATTTAGTTGTTAACTGTACCGGAACATTCATTCCTGCTCTGATATCATGAAAAGAGGATGAATTGATCTTCATTGTGAATAACACACATTTATCTGGAAGTAATCATTGTTTTTTAACACTGTTTGTGCAAGTGGAATATCTAGCTCTAATAGTTTGATAAAAACCACATTGTACAAAACCTGAGCAAAATTTTGAAAAGTAAGAGACTTTTTTTTAAAAGTTTCTTTAAATGTTTTAAAGCCTATCTGTACTAGTTTGGCCAGGAGGGATTGGACCTCCCTGCACAGTCACTGGCAGGTGGTTATCTCATCAAATCCGCTCTCAATTAACATAAGAAAAAGAGGATCATGGGGGACCAATGGTCACCGATTAGCGGGAGCAAGTAGCTACAAGTAGTACAGTGGGGCTTTAAGTTTGTATTTTGTTATTTGCTGCATTTTACTTTTAAGGAAATTTCATGATTCATTACCCATGTGCAAACACTTTGTCTGATGTTACATACAGTTACATGTAACAACCAAATTATTCATACCCCTCGTAAAATTGATGATTGTTGTTTTTTGTAACTCAATAATGAAAGGTGGACTGGATGAATTTAGCGCCTTTGTTGATTACTTACAGATGTAAGTTTTGATAGGTCATGTAATCAAGAAACATAAATTGGGATAATTCAAGTTTTCGCATACTTAATGAATCAAAAAAGTTTGTAAGGGTATGAATAATTTAGTTGTTAACTGTACAGTCATTCCTTCTCTGCAGTATGATAAAAGAGGATGAATTGATCTTCAAAGTGAATAATAAAAATTTGTCTGGACAAATCATTTTTATGGTAATTAATATGATTTTTTAAAAACATACTATTTGTGCAAATGGAATATGTAGCTCTGATAGTTTGATAAAAACCACATTGTATAAACCCCAAGCCAAATTTTGAAAAGTAAGAGACTTTTTTTTCTCAAAATTTCTACTTCGTTCTACTTGATATCATTCTAGACGATCGAATGGAGGTGGAGGAGCCCATGTCACCGCGATCACCGACCACGCCGACCTTGCCACAATCCCCCGGTTCACCCCGCTGCATGCAGCACTGCACGATGGAATTCTTTGAGATGTGTGCTAGCTTGATCGCTACCCTTGCACGATGAGGACGACGATCCAGAGGCCGATCCAGAGGGCGATCAAAAGGCTTCGTACACTGTAGAGCCAGAAGGGAGTTAACCCATGTTCTAAACAGAGTCAATGCCTTTCTTGAAAGCAAGTGCGATATTCCCTTGTATCTCTCAAAAGAAAAGCAATATCATATTAAATCTAGGGTGCGTTCAAGCGATTTTTTGACACTTGAATCACAAACATGAATTAAAAATTAAAAACACTGTTAAAATACATGGTTACTGCGGGAGAGTGTCAAAACGATTTTTGTTCATGTTGAATCTCGCTCATTTCAAGCCCAGCCACTGCTTAGCACACTGCGCAGTTTGACCCAGGAAGTATAGGGCAACTTCGCCACATGCTTTCTGAATTTGTTCACAGTCGACTGTCAGCCAAACCAGAAGCACGCCACGATAATGACGTTATAGAATCTTGATTGAAATCTCGTTGCGTTCAAACAATTTTTAATTTTTAGCGAACGTGCAGAATTACGATACAAAGGCATCTTTTTCAGCGTTTCATGTTTGTGTTTTGAAACGCGTTTATTTTCACGACCGACGAAAAATCGCTTGAAATCGCTTGAACGCAACCGTGTTTTAAACTAAACATCTTTAAAAACCGTGTTTCTAGGGTGAAAAAGTGTCGCTAGAACGCACCATAAGTACATCAACTTGTACCCGTGACATCCCTTTTTTTCGGTATTAACTTCAACATCAAACACAGGGAGGAAAACCTCATTTCTGTTCTTACTTAAGCAATTTGCAAGTGCTGCACGCTTACATCCATTCTCGCAGCCTACCGTTTTTAAACAAGTTATCACAATTTATGCGTTCACGCACTCCAAACCATGATATTTGTAAAAAGTATTACACGGTCATCCAGGTACCTTTGCGCAATGCATAAGATACACTTATTTTTACGGTTAGCACAAAACCCTTCATACAAATAACAGTAGTTGATATCTTAAACTTGGAAGAAATGTCCAGGATTGTTTTTGGATTGGCAACAAAGAATCATCAACCAAAGAACTGAGGGTATAACGTGATATAAAGGAGGTAATATTTGGCCTGCTTTTAAATCTTAAAGCAGATTTATTGTAATTTCTTCTAGTTAACACTGAAAATGAGAAAAATCTAAAACTATTTCACTTTTACAGTACTCTACATTTGATGTCATATTAGGATGTATTAGGTGTATGTAATGGAGGTGGTACATCAAGGGCTATTCAGACGATTCTGATTGAAAACCAAATTGTTCATGAAAAGAAAAAATATCAAGAAACAGATTGAATGAATGTTCATTATACGAAAGGAGTATAATTGGAAAAGCAGAAAGTGGATTTGTTTATAGTTTACATTCATTATCATGGCTTTACAGGCTGATGTTTAGGGACTAAGAAATTGGAATTGAGGTTTGTAGTAAAAATGCAGCTACTTCACTCAGTCTGGATGTATATTGGACCAATTTGATGGTTTCTGTTATGAGATGAAATGAATGAAAAGGTTATATGTGCCCTCTTGTGTCGATCAAAAGATAATGAAGATTTCTGATTTTATTTTCTCATTAGCTGATTGGTATCTACTCAGCTGAATGTAATTTGACTTTCATCAAGTTTTGTAATATAATGAAAAAATTATTGGTTTGATTTTTTTGAAGAAAAAATGTATGATGTGTAGATCATATTGAAAAATGCAAACAGCATTTCAACGAATGTGTAACATGAAACAGAAATATTTGTATTTATTTTTCTTAAACTTTGTCAAAATCATGACCACTGTCTGTGGTCAATAAGATATGTTCTCACATTGACAGTTTGTGTTGAGACAAATGAATCAAAATTTTAAAGAAAAGTTGGAGAGATACTTCTCTGTAATTTCATTGATTGCTTTGATGTTTGACTTTTATTTTGCAATCATAGTTTGACATGGTCATGTTGGCCTAGCCGAATGATGAAATAAGTATTAAAAGATGATATAAATATAAGACCATATTGGCCTAAAAGGTTTAGTATGATTTAAAACTTTGAAATTATAGAATACCAATTATATTTTTGATGCAATTAGCGATAAAGATATGTAATGAAGGCTCCCACTTGAAACTTGAAATATGTACATAGTAAAATGTTTATACGAGTGCTGATGCTATGCCAGACCGATATGTACAGTGTAAAGACAGTTGATCTGAGAGATAGAACTCTTGGGTGTGTATACATGCATTTTGTGACTCTGTGCAAAGGGTACTATTGAATGTTTGCACATGATCGCAAGAGGAAATTATTTTTTGTATACCGCATTAGAAAAAATTATGATTATTTAGTTAAAGGAACATTCATGTTCATTTTTTGTAAAGAATTATGTTAATTCTTCATATACCTTACTCCTCTGTTCAAATTACCATAAAATCATATAATTATGCCGGAGGTATTTTTTTTGTCTTTTAGAATGACTTTTGAAATAAGTAATGATCGTAAGAGAAACATATATGTTGATTTTATTAAAGGATAGATAAGAATTCTGCTTATATCGCGGTACAAATCAACCTGTAACTCATAGATGGTTTATGAGGAGTCTCAAACTTGGCAGGAGCAGATCTAGGGATCATGACATCCCTCTCAAGAGCCCCAAAGGGGTGGGATGGAGAGGGAGGGGGGGGGGGGTGTTACTCCAAGAAAGGCTTATATTTGCATATTATTTTCCTTTTCCCCTTCTATCTCTCTCTCTCTCTCTCTCTCTCTCTCTCTCTCTCTCTCTCTTTCAAAGGGGCAGGATGGGGGGGGTGTTACTCCAAGAAAGGCTTATATTTGCATATTATTTTCCTTTTCCCCTTCTCTTTCTCTCTCTCTCTCTCTCTCTCTCTCTCTCTCTCTCTCTCTCTCTTTTGCTTGCTTGCTTAATGGGAGTGGGGGAAGGTGTTTTTTCACCTAGAAAATTTTGTCTTATGCTCCTTCCTCAGGAGGGGGATATTTTGACCCTTAATCCTTAAAATCTTGCTTCTCATCACCTGTCGGACAGATATTTTAACAGTTGAAGAGTACCTTTCTGATTAATACATATATATATAAGTCATTTCATCTGAGAGACAGATGTCATTTGAAGATGACCTCTAATGTCAAAGTTGGAAGTACTACTCAAAGTGTAGATATATATGAAATAGATGTTGATTGTGCATTTACTTAAAGTTTGTTGCACATAGTGCTGTACTAATCTCTTGATATATCCAATATGCATGCATTTGTTTGTGTCTGTGTATATTTCAGAGGGCAAGGATTACCGGTTTCAGTTACAAAGCTGTGAATATTTTGCGATCACAGAAAAAGAAATATGAACGCAAGATATATGGAAAATGTCAAGTAATTAAAGTGAAGAAACCTGAAATTTGTCATTTTTGAAGATGCAAAATTAACAAATCTCAATTTCTCTGCTTTATATTTCCTTGATGGTGAAAGGGCATACACGTCCCTTTTAAACGTATTCCTGATTTTCAATACATTTGGGAACAAGTCTCCTGTACTCCCTATATGTTCTGTCAATAGCATACCGCTTTAATATATGTATAATGTACATGTCATGTTGATGCTTTATCCAAGTATAAAGTTAAATGGTCCATGTTCAAGAAAAATTAAGAAAAAATGTCAATACAAGGTATATATTACATTGATCATAGCAAGCAAGAAAAGCAACAAAACAAATATAGAAGAGAAAACAAAATTTGAAAGCAAGCAGATATTTTGTTAATAGAAATCATTCATCAATTTTAGATTGCAAAAGATAAATTTATTATAAATGACTGCAATTGTGCTGGATATTTTTCAAAATTTGAATTATAGAATGTCTCTTTGGCTTGTTAAAGTAAATTGTCATCAATTTAGAGCCCTTCTTCTGTGCTTCCTCGTCTTGTAAAAATGTCAAAATTGAAAGTACTTTCCTGTCGAGCTATGTTTGTATGCATGCCTAGGATTATTATATCATGTGTGTTCAGGTATGGTTGGAATTGTATATTGTATATTGTATGAAATAAAATACAACTCAGTAAAAGAAATGGCTGTGTGCTATTTTGTGTTTATATTCGTTTGGGAGTCATTTGTAACAAAGCCATCTACGATTGATCTATTAGTTTAAGTAACAGGTGTGGTATAGTTCAACTTCGATATATACAGTGCGTCCCAGATAAAACGAAACCAAGAATTATCGATGTTTTATCATAACTTAATCACAATTATAATTGATAAATGACATATTTGGAAAGCTTAGATCCTCCTCTTTCATTTGATGCAACTCATAATAATGCATATTTCACACATGAGGAATTAAAATCAATGTGAAGAGAGGAAAACAAAAAGTCATTTTGCGGACGATATCTGAATTTCTAACAGAAAATCACATTTCTAAAAAGTTGAGTTTTTGCCCTTTCATATGACACCTCAATCAGGAAAAATGAGCTAGGAATAAAAAAGTTCTGTTTGTTTAAAGTAGTGCTTGCATTTCCATAATTTGATTAAACGAATTCGTTTTCACTGGCTGCCTGCCTTTGTTTCGTTGACAATCGGCTGTAGACGAAAGACTTCATGCATGGCTAATTGTCAACGAAACGGAGTTAAGTCTTTTGTCAATTCTGCTTTTTGCTACGGCAGGCAGCCAGTGAAAACGAATTTGTTTGCTAAAATTATGAAAATGTAAGGGCTACTTTAAACAAACAGAACTTTGTCATTCCTAGCTCATTTTTCCTGATTGAGGTGTCCTATGAAAGGGCAGAAACCCAACTTTCTAAAAATGTGATTTTCTCTTTGAAATTCAGATACCGCCCGCCAAACGGCTTTTCAGTTTCCTCTCTTCAAATTGTTTTTCAATCACTCGTGCGTGAAATATGCATCATATGAGTTGCATCAAATGAAAGAGGAGGATCTAAGCTTTCCAAATATGTGTCATTTATTAATTATAAATGTGATTAAGTTATGATAAAACATCGATAATTCTCGGTTTCGTTTTTTCTGGGACGCACTGTACAGTCTGAATTTTGCATATCATACCCAATGAAGTTACAAAATCTCACGGTCTGCTTTGCTTTAAGATGATATTATGTTGGGTAGAAAAAAAAGATACATTATGCTACAACATATAAATTATGTCACTGATGAATAAACAATGATGGAAAAACTATGACGAAAAAACAAACAAACGGAAAGAAAGAAGAACATGACTCGATCAAATGTAAAATAATTCAATTTGTGCAATGTAGCTTTTATTGTTCTGATCACGTAAATTTGTAAGAATTTCATTCAGGTGCATGAATCTTGAACCTTTTTTGTGTGTGCTTCATATATATCTGAATACATATACATATACATAATTATAGTAGTATAGAATCTATGAAATAAGTATAAAGAAGTAAGATATATCCAATTTAGCTCTGGCATTTTAAAGCATCTGTGTATCAACCATTGTATTTACAGTGTAGCAAATCATAACAATTGACTGTGCAAGTGTGTATAAATGACCATTCTCAAATGGTATGCAATTTTTTAGCAGACACAGTGAGTGAACTTTGGCCCTTAAATAGCTTGTTATTAATTGAACACAATGACTCTCACTAATTTCATGTATTACATTTATAACATCGGTACATGTGCCCGAACACTTAGCTTAGAGGCATATAGCCTATCATCTTGACATATTAAAGATAAAGACCAGTTATGGTCATGCGATTGCATTGTGAAAGAAACGTTGAGGAATCGATCAGAAAAGGTTGATCATCTAGCATATAAGTATTGGTGTGTACTAGATCAAAATGATAAGAAATTTGGCCCAGTCTTGGTACAGTTACAAGCACTGTACACAGAAAGATGTACATGGGACTACGCACATGTGCGTTATATCTATCAGTACCAAATAGATATGGTAATTTACCAAATATATCAATTAGTAGCCGGTTTCTCAGCAAAATTTGTATGATCACGTATAAGTCAAAACATATTCTTTCACATGATTGGTAATAAGAGCTTCCATTTCATTTTTTTGAGAGGGGGGCGTTTCCAAAACTGGACTTTACCTTTAAGGTATGCTTGCATATCTCTGTCCAGACAGTGGTTTGGCTCAATAACTTTTGATTAAGAGCCCTAAACTATATCAGATGCACGAGTAGAAAAGGCAACAAATTTCTGCACACACTGAGTCAGTTTATTTCGCATGATTATATTGTGCTTGATGCCAGGAATTTTAAAAAGAAAATGAGCTTTAAAACCCTTGAATTGGCAACACATTGAAAGGTTCAAAATCATTGTTTTCGATCAAATTGGCAATATTTTTCAAGTTTTGGACAGAGTTGCTACCCACATTGTTTTCAGAGACATTCAATTGTATTAAAACTTAGTAATAGAAGAAAATATTTTTGTTGATCTAGTTTTTTTCTTACAAATTAAATGACGTTAAAAATATGAGTTTGAGCATGGATGACTACATGTAGCAAACTATGGAACTTGCACAAACATGAAAAACACAAAATCGAAATGTGTTCATAATATGGTCTATTGCATGGAACACACAGTTACAGATTCATAGGGGAAAAAGGAAAAAAATGATGTACAAAATTCACACAATAAATAGAATATAAGGTTTGAAGCCCCAGTTTCGAGTACATAAATTGCACAATGCGGCATAGATAAAAGCGTCTATTACAACAAAGATTATATTCGACAATCTGTAAGAAAATACACGCTCTGTATTCTAAGAACAATAAATAGATATCAATAAGTACAGCTTCTATGAATAGCACTTCGCATCTGTTTGTTTTCAAGTGGGAATTACAAGAAACAAATATATACAAAAAACTAACACATAAATAAAAAATAAATAAAATATGCTGAATATTTCAGGTATCCAGGATTGATTTGTAAAAATGAAATATTTTTTTCAAATTTCATTTCCTAAACCCAAGAAGGAAAGGTATCAAACTTGATTAATTAGTAAGCATCTAGACAAACTTATTTAGGGGAATGTTTTAAGGGGGGACGGATTAATTGTAATACAATCACGGCATTGTATTTCGTAGCAGGTTGCAAAGGGTATGAAGGCTAGAGACTCTCCCCCTGTCCACACACAACATTTTCCGTGATTAGGCGTGATTAGCTATACCGTTTCGCGATAATGATACCGTTTCGCGATAGTTTTACGCTCACTAACGATACGTCATATAACGAAACTAGTCTAACGAAACGCAGGTTTGGGCATCGTTTCGAACTGATCACGCCTAATCACGGAAAATGTTGTGTGTGGACAGGGGGTATGCCGTGCCATGCCTACCGGCAGCGCGGACCACTTTCAGACAAAGATTAGATGGCACAACTAACTGAACTGCAAGTGAATCCTGCATGTACTAATTATGACTGTACTGGTATCCATGGAAGTTGTATTCTTTAGGCCTAAGGTTAGGTCCTTATTTTACTAATTCCTTTAAAGGTACTATGTCCCATTTGCAGCCAACCTCAAATTCTGTAGAACTTTGCAGGAATTATGAATATGTCATGTATGTCCTATCTGTGAAATTTGAACGTTAGCAGTGTCCTCATATTCAAATTATGCAAGGAAACCCGTTTACTTGCTAGACTTCACTGTCAGACACTATTGAGTGAGTGACTGACTGGCTTTTTTCTTCTTTGGTAATAACATAGTGTACATGAAAAGAGTTGTAAAGGGTACATGAGCATTTGTCTACATCAATAGCCCACTTCTTGTGATGGCCAAGATTAAACTGATTGAATCTTTGTGCAGTATAAAACGTATGACCATTCGGTACAATTGTCTGAAAATCAAGACTATTACTTTTGGGCTCTATAGCCTATTTGACAACTAATAGTCGTTATTTTCCCACTTGAAGACATTTTCAAGCCCCACCTTTTTTAGGGAAGTTCTAAATTAGTATTATCTTTCAAATGCAGTTGGAATTTAACTTTTTTGGCCTGCAAATGGGACATAGTACCTTTAAACCTGACCCTGTTGTCTTAGGGAAGGAAAATTTAGACTTCTGATTAAATTCCTGAGTTTCAAACTGAATTTGAAGGAGAAAAAAACAACTCTATAAGCCCAACCTTGGGTTTAAACATATGAGAATATCATATGGCCTAGTATGGTTGCATATGTGACACAGTTACCATTACCAGACATGCAATTTGCGGAACAACAGAGTATCAACATGTTTATGCCATGCTTACATGGTTTCCAGTCATGTTTTGTTTTTGAAGGTTGGACTTTGGAGTTGGCATTCAAATCTATTCCACTTTACAATTAAAAAAAATGACAATTCCTTCTTCGCCCCTGAATAATTCCTCTAAATGATCCTTCAAATTCAACTAACAAAGAAATACATGACTGAATACTATAAAAATAGCACATAAAGCTTTTGCACACTGTCCATAAGTATTTTTCTCTCCATACACATGTACATGTAATCGAAGATAAAACAAAGTACTAAATGAATGATAAATAAATGATGTACAGAATAGACCCTGTGCAGCATGTGAACTTGTATTTATATCCTTGAGTCTATAAAAGATAGCATTCTCATCGAGAGCTAATTTATGGCCAATAAATTAGCTTCCATTAGAGATATTTCATTTACCTGTTATCAATGAATGAACTCCAATACTTGGAATCCAATCTGCATACATTACTTGTTGCTGTGTCTGGAAACCCTCAAAAAAGCCTTTGGGCTGTCAAGATCAATCTGTGCTTCAAAAGTGTGCATACAATTTGAATATAATTGGTTAATGACCAAAAATGTGCACACACAGTATCAAAGTTCACATAAATATATGAGCAGGCAAACAAAAAGTTACTTTTTGGTTTGATTTACATTCACATTGTTATGACAATGATAAGATCCTTCACTGAAAGGAAAGATAATGATGACAGATAATGATGACTGTTAATGAATACTGCCTTTGGCCTATACACTAGGTAAGATTTCATTAAAGTTTACTGACTGCCAGTTTTTAAAGTGATACTGAACTGATGAACTTTCTGCCCGAGTGAACTGTTTATTGCACAGCGCCATCTCATGGTCAACTTGATAAAAGTGCGCTTCAAACGCTTAATTTCTGCTTCGTAGACTGAGGACTCAATGCGAGAACCAAAAGTGCGCCAAGGTACGGGAATATCATGTACAGATTTGAATGGCAAGGCTTTAACAAAATATCATCATAGCAAAAGTTAAAGAGAAAGAGGAATATTTTGCTCATATTACAATTCATCAGAGTCTCTTGAGGGATTTCTTAGAATTGTTAATTAATTATGCATGTTCCGGTTTTGTAATGTTTATAAACAAATTACTTTGTGCTATGCTTACTAAATTGCTCGAGTGACTATGCATTTTGACTACGCATTTTAATTGGGTGACTCTGGGTATTGGTGCTAATGCATTATTTTGTATACAAATGTCCTTATTTCATTGTGTTTTAAATTCTCTCCTCTAAATTACATCTTTCTCTACTGCTACTGTTTTTCATCTACATTACTTTTTTTTTTCAGGAACCTATATTATACAAGCATTGCTTTTTGATAGGATCCTCACATTCTACTTAATCTATTATATGAATTGAGAATCATTGATATGTACTCATTTATACTACAATTATATTGTATAATTTTATATTTTATATGTATGTTTATATTTTCTGTAAAATGTGGAACAAATAAAACTTGGAAAAAAAAAATTGAAGGTACTAGACCGAGAGGAAAGCAGAGAACCAACTGAGAGGAGAACGTAAAAACCTGAAGTGGAATGACACTGCAAGAGTGTACTAATATGGCAGAGAACAGAAATGCGTGGAAATGTGTTGCAATCAACCTACGAGCTGGGAAAAGATACCAGGATCGACAGAGTAACTTAGTTCATTTACATAAATATAATATAATGAATTAGAATCACATAATGTTTCATAACTTTATGTCATAAGGTGGCTCATACCTTAGCTAAGGCAGAACAACATGCACCATTTGGTTCTGTATTTACTTTTCTTTGGCTTTCCACAGTTGAAATACTTGTTGAAGTTGTCTCCATATATACCTCTGAATATATCAATGTGCACTAAAATCTCTTTCACCAAATGTCTCATGGTGTTTTCATCTAATAAAATGTATTGTACAACTACTATCAAATGCCATGCTAATATATTGCAAATACGAAAGTACAAAATTATTCAGTGTTCTTAATTAGCAATCCTAAGGTAACTTACTGGAATGTATTCAGGGGATGGGTACAGCAATGGCAACATTTCAAATCATCATCTATCTATATTGCTCTCCTAGGGGTCTACCCAATGAAGCTTAAAGATAAAGTTGAGTTCTGGTCATGCGATTGCATTGTGACAGAAACGGTGTGGAATAAATCAGAAAAGGTTTATCATCTATAGGTATTGGTGTGTACTGCAAGGTTCTGGAATCATCAAAATGATAAGAAATTTGGCCCAGTCTTGGTAAAGTTACAAGCACTGTACACAGAAATATGTATATGGGACTACACAAACATGTGGCATAAAAATCTGTCCCAATTTTTTGGGCTGTTATATGCCATATTTAGAATATTAAGGCATTAACTAGAAGAGCCATGCTTTTCAGGGAACATTTTATTATCTGATGTTCTTCCACACTTGCATAATAACAATGATAATGCTCTCAAATTATTTTTCACCTCTTCCCAGAACTCAACCTTCTCTTTAAACCACTATGAAACACAGGAATAGAAAACTATGTACAACTTTATCAATGGCTCAGTGTGTTGGATGTAATGCGGAATGTCACATTTTCAGTCGTCATATTTTCAGCTGAGAGTCAGGGTCCTAGAGGCGCTCCAATGTAACCACGGGTCTTGCTAGGCTACTGATTTCAGTGCTCACAGCAGTCTAGAAATTACTTTTTACCTTTTTCCCACGTATGGGTGAACCGTGTATTTTCATTAGATGGATATTATTAAGTACTTCTATCATTATTTATGATGATTACTATACTTTGGCATCGAAAAACTGATCATAAGACAAACAACTTTTACTATCAGAATACCTATGCTTTGGTATTGTTGTTGAAACTGTTGGGTCATGTCAAAATCCTTTAAGCGCATTGAATGATGACTTAAGATCATTCAAACACTATATCATCAGTTGAGGACCAGAAGAGTGTTAACTCTATGGAGTATGATTTAATGTTTTGGCTCTCAGCAGACGATATGAAGAATGGAAGATGAATCTCAGAAGTGTTCTAAAAGCATTGCTTTGAGCTGCAGTTTCAGCTCAAGGCATTCTGCGAAGCTGAAGACGAACTAGGACCAGACGACAGGTCCTGGTCTTCTGCACCATTAGTCCGTACTATCCCATCTTCAGTTGATTCTGGTCCATCTATTGGTCCATCTACTGGTCCATCTACTGGTCCATCACCTGCAGGAGAGTCCTGGTCCTTGTCAAGCGAGTCCTGGGACACTTCGGTTGTAAGGTTCGATTCCAGTCCATCTTCTGGTCCAGGCCCTGCCTCGTCCTCTCCTTCGAGGTTGAGCGAGTCCTGGGCCGGGATCTCCGAGGATTGGGCCATCTTGGTCTTTAGGTTGTCCAGGGCAGCGTGCATCTTGAAGTGGAGTCGGTTCTCCAGCATGTACTTCTTGTTGTGATGTCTGGGCATCCATTATTAACATTGAGAATGAACAAGTGACAAAGAGATAGAGAGAGACAGAGAGAGGGAGAGTGAGAAAGGCAGAGACAGAGAGAGAGACACACACACACATACAGAAAGAGAGGGAGAGAGAAAGACAGAGAGAGTACAGAGAGACAGAGAGACATAGAGAGTGAGAGAGAGAGAGTGAGAAAGTTAGAGAGAAACAGAGAGAGACATAGTGAGTGAGAGTGAGAGAAAGACAGAGAGAGAGGGAGATAGAGAGAGACAGAGACAGAGAGAGACAGAGATAGAGAGAGAAAGAGAGAGAGAGAGAGAGAAAGAGAAAGAGAGAGAAAAAAAGAAAGAGGCAGACAGAGAGACAGAGAGGTGGGAGGAGAATGAGTAAATGATCACATTAACAGTATTTCAATATTTCATTAGTCATATAAATATCTATGTCTTCACCTCATCAATTTTTCATTTTGTCTCTTTGTTGCTGTTGTTGTTGCTAATGTTTTTCAGAAAATTACCTTTAACTTTAAATTACTACTCATTTAATTATCAATAGACTTTCAATTGATTACCTAATTAATTAACCCCCTTTTTGTTGGGGGGGGGGGGATGGATCCTTTCTGGTGTTGTTGACTAATGAAGATTTTGCAATTCTTTTTTGACAAAACACATTAATTCTTGCGTTTTCACTTTTTGGCCAGTGCCATTTGTTGATCTTTTCACTGCTGCACTTCTCTACGCTTACATCATTTAAATCAGTTAAATTACCCATTTATCATTTAGGGGAAGGGGATAGAAGGGGGATAATTAATCTGCAATACCTGCATTGGGTGAGGAACGTCTTAGCTTCCTGAAGTCTGTTATACTGTAGATAAAGCAATCCAAGTTCCAGCGTTGCATAGGGCACCACGTAGTGATCATAATGGAGATCTCGTTCACTGTTAAATCAAGCAATTGGAAATTAAAAAGGAGGAAAAAGGTTTAGATACAGTTACACTTTTTAAAAAATTGCCTGTTAATTTGGAAACCAAATTGTTTATCCTCTGAATAACCTTTTTTTTTAAATGTAGATGGACCAGTGGATAGACATGTGGAGAGACCCTTAACCATGATGTAACATGTAACTGGAGTTTAGCCATTGTATGTGCATATATATATTTGTAATCATTATGTTTCTGTTTTGTGTTCTGTAGAAACACGCTGAACAACTCATTTAGAAAACAGGTATTGGGGGACTGGACAATTTCTGCCTCAAGCCTAGGGTGACACATGATAAGATAGTCAATAGAACGGTTCACTAATATATTCATATTTGTGGATGTTTCTTTCCTGGGGACCTAGTTACAAGTTATTCCATTAGCCTGTTATTAATGAATGACCTACAATCCTTGGAATCTAGTCTACATACATTATGTGTTGCTATGTCGGGCAAGCCCCCAGACAAGCTTTCAGGTTTTCAGTAGCAACCTTTTTCTTTAAAAGTGTGCACAAAATTTTAAAGGGGAAGTCCACCCTGAAATTAAGTTAGTTTTAATAGGAGTAGAAAAATGAGAGAAACAAGTCAGTGAAAGTTTGAGCAAATTCCGATTAAAAATAAGGAAGTTAGGATTTTTGAAGTTGTGATCAATCAAACACAAATTGGCAACTCTATGACTTATCATGCAAGCTCAACTTCCATTTGCTCAGTACTAAAAAAATCTAAAATTTTCATTTTCCCTCAAGAAAAATTTCAACCATACATGCACCCTAAATATAATAATTGCAAATATGTTTCTATACTCCCCCTGCAAGGAACAAATATATATTCCATCATCAATAACGAAGAAAACATGATTTTATGGAATATTATGCACAAAGCAAATGAAGGAGAGCTCGTATAATAAGTCACAGAGTTGCCAATTTGTATTTGATTGATCACAACTTCAATAATTCATAACTTTCTTATTTTCATTCAGAATTTGCTCAAACTTTCACTCACCTGATTTTCTTATTATTCTGCCTCTATCGAAACAAACTTATTTTGGGGGTGGACTTTCCCTTTAAATATGTCAGTAAACAGGGACCTGTTTCTCAAAGCCTTTTTTCAATGACAAATTACAAAAATCAGTGACAAATCTGCTGATAGCCAATCAGAAGCAAGGATCTCACTAGTAGCTTATAACCATTATGCCTGCAAATCAAGACCTCCAAATAATTGGCTTAAGTCTGGTAGGGAGCTGTCTTAGATTTAGGGTAAAATAGTTAGCCAAAAGTTTGAATTGAATACCAAAATTGGCTAAGTATTTTATCTAAGCCAACTACTAAGTAAAAAGCTTACATTTTGTACGTAAGTATGGAATTGAATACGGTCCCTAGTCTATTGCTTAGGAAAGGTTCTAAGATACCTGAGAGGCGATGATGAATCTTACTTTGAGATGACTTCTTGAAAGCAGAGTTCAGCCTGAGAAGGTCTTGATAGATATCTCAGGGTGATTCCCTTCAGCAGCATGGCTAGACTGTAGTCGTCCCAGTAACAACCGCTACTTCTACTTGCTTCACCTGAAAACACAAAGAACAGTTTAAAAATCATACAGTTTGTGACCTTGATATAAAGGCGATCTCAAAAAAAAAACCTTTGAGGAGCATTGATAATCTGTAGTTGTCTAAGGAACAATCGATACTTGTACTTTCAATACAAACATTTAGATTGTTTAGAAAATCTGGAAAAAATGTACTGTTCTTCACGAGGGAGGGCCATTGTGTAAAAACATGAAATAGTTGAGGTGTTGTGATCCAGTGGATAAGTCTCCGGACTGTGAACCACAAGGTATGGGGTTCAAATCCCTGTCACATCACTAAAGTCCTTTGGCATTTGTGACATTAATCTACATTTGTCACACTCCACCCAGGTGAGGTTAATGGGTACCCAGCAGGAAGTAATTCCTTAAATGCTAGAGCACAGTAATGGCAGCCATGCTGAAGCCTGGGTAATCATAATGGAGCGATGTATGTGACATGAGCGTTATACAAGATTTCACTATCATTACTACCTTTTTTTGTATTAATGTTTGTTCATGATCGATTGGTTGAATTCAATTCAGCTTATATCTTGATATCTCTTAGGACAAACAAGAAAACAATCCACTCCACCCACTCTTCGAACAACAGCCAGTGGGCAAGCGGCACAAATCCAGACACAGCTTTCTGCACTCTGTAGAGCCTCTTAATACTAGCCCTCACAACCAAAGGATGACTTTGTGGTCTAACCACCTTCAGACCACTCCACATAAACTCTCCCTCAGCCCGAAGGAATCCCTCGCAACCGGCTCCAGTGAGACTTGGCCTACCTGGCTTAGCCTCAACCGCCTAAGAACTGGCTACGGTCGATGCAGAGTCCTAATGCAGAGGTGGGGTCTAGGAGACGAACAAACGGCATGTGAATGCGGCCAGGAACAGACAATGGAACACCTGCTAGTCTGCCCACTCCTGCCAGAGCCATGCACCCAAGATGACCTGGAAGCCGTGAATTGCCGTGCCAAAGCCTGTGTGGACCACTGGACGGGACTTGTGTAGTGACTCGATAAGAAGAAGATATCTCTTTGTTTGCTTGTTTGTTTTTGTTTTTGCTTCTGTGTGCTCTCCATGGAATGTGTCATTCATGTCTAGCACATGTACTATCACTGTTGTCAAATATTATACTGTGAACTCACCTTTAGTTTTCTTGAGTTCTTGAAGAGTTGCCTCTGTCAGCAGGAGTACTGGCTCTAAGAGTTCTTTCTTCTTGGCTAAAATTGAGAACCCATTCCAGATGTAGATCAATTCCTGAACAAGAAAAAAAGTATGAAATTATAAAATTACATATTGAATGTTTTCTTAAAATAATATGTTTAAATTGAAACTTTGATATATAAACTGTCCTGTTCGTTGAATTGTGTATACGGTATACATGTACATGGACCTATTTTTAAAATGGTCAATTAAAGGCATACAAATATATGATATTCAAAGTAAAATAAAAACATTCAAATGTTTACAAGCAACACAGCCCTTTAATATTCAACATCCAGATATGCTAATAGCTCAATCAGCGAGCTCAATTTGAAAGTTCCAGCAGAGCTGAGATGACAGTTTAGGCAGCAGATGAATGATATGCTCACAGCTACATGATATACTAACAAAGAATATATGAAGACCAAGAAATATCACGTAAAAGGGTCACATGTTTCAAGGACGGGCCTTCGACTCGTTTAATGTACAGCATAGCAAAATTAATAAAAATAGTGTACTTCTTGCTACTTTGTGCTTGATAAGCAAATTTAGGGTTTATCTTTAGCTTATTTTTTATCTGCATTTATGCAAAAAGGGGTCATATTTTCTGGAAAATGTTCTTGAAAGTCCTCAAAGAGGAGGCCATTTTAAAACTTTGCTAACAATCATACGTTACCCCTTTGAATATGAAGCGACTCCTCCGGGATGTAAATACACATTACTAAATGCCTATGCACTAGAGAGATGTGAGTTGGACTAGCCAACTTCATCAGCTCTCTGTCTTCGCCTACATACTGGCTCAGGTGACCCCGGTTTAAAACCGAGTCGCGTCTTTTGGATGATGACGTTAAAGGTGGGTCCCCAGACGTGAACAATCATATATTATTGAAACAAATCTGTATAAACCTAATAACACCAGGGGGTGTTTCACAAAGATCATAAGTTTAACTTATCTCTAAGTTAGACTTAACAATTATGGAAAGCCATAAACATCCTTGAAAGTATTTTGTTAAAATTATTTTAAAAGGCATAAAATGTTGATTCAAATCATTCATATTTTCTATTATCATGGGAGACTTCATGTTCTTGATGTGGAATTTATGAAAAGTCTAAAATACTTGAATTTTCGCTTTTGAATATATTTCATTATAAGGCTACAAATGGCTCTCCATAATATTTAAGTCCAACTTAGAGTTAAGTTCGACTTAAAATCTTTGTGAAACACCCCCCAGGGGTGATAGTGAGCACCTCAATCACGCCCCGGCCCCTTGAGTAAAAAAAAAAAGACGAGGATTCGGGAGAACAAATGGCATCTAACAACATTCCCCCCCCCCCCCCTTTTGAGTAAGAAAAATTAGGAAATAATAGGGAAAAATAGGGAAGAATAGAGAAAATAAGGGAAAATCCGGACAAAAAATCGGGGGAAAAAAAAAGTTTTTATCAGGCCTGTTACACATGCACATGCACACCTACATACATACCAGTCCTACTAGTGAGTGTTCTGTCCCATGGACCAGCTGCTTCTTGGCCTTGCTCACTGCAAACTTCTCCATGGGGATGGACTTGCCCGCGATGCGCTGCTTGAGGTCTGGTACCTTCGCATAGATATCGTTGATGTTCTGTATGCAGGCCTCCGTGCGTGGCAGGTGCATGGCCAAGAAACTAGCCTGCTGATGGTGGTAAATGGCCTGTGAAATTGTAGACAAGAAAGATTAAAGATAAACTTGAGTTCTGGTACAAAAAGGAAAATGAATTCTCACAGAATCAAACACTAAATGTTCAAGATTACAAATAAATGTCATTTGCCAAACTATTTTGGTAGAAAATGTATACTGGCTGAGTAATGAGCAAATAAAGATAAGGAAATCAATGTAAGTAGGTCCAACACCATTTGTGTAGTCCCATATACATCTTTCTGTGTCGAGCTTGTTACTTTACCAAGACTGGGCCAAATTTATTATGATGTTGATGACTGCAGAACCTTGCAGTACACACCAATACTCACATGCTACATCATCAACTTTTTCTGATCCATTCCACACCTTTTCTTTCACAATGCAATCGCATGACCAGAACTCAACTTCATCTTTAAGTGAGATATTGTGATACGTAATATAAGCATCCATGTACATCCACTTCAGGAGCGCCAATGTCTAGTTGCCTAATCAAAGGTGCCGATGAAACTTCTGTATATCGTAATTAACGGTGTATAAACCGCCCTCGTGTATTAACCGCACCCCTCTTTTTCGGCAGCAAGCCAGGTCAGTGTCAAAAAACCCACGCAGGAAGGCCTTTCATTTAACTGTGAGGTGCAGCTGAATGTGTAAGATCATTAATGTAAATTTAAAAAATAGTAGAGGACCTAGGATGGAACCTTGTAGTACGCTGTGTAATAGAAGAAAAATTGGAGGAATTATTATTATAAACTACATATTGACATCTATCAGAAAGATTACTTTCAAACCAAGATGACAGACAAATTGGAGTGTTGTTCTAGTTTCCGAGAGGTGAGTCAACACACCGAATACTGAGCTGGGAAACATTGCCAGGCATAGTGCCAGGTGGAGGGGCATAAATCGAAACTTAAAAAAAAATATTTAAACAATTTTTTGGTGTACCGTGTATAAATTGCACCCCCGACTTTTAATTTTTTTTCGGCGGCAAAAAGGTGCGGTTTATACTACGTTAATTACGGTATGTCATAGTTCACTTGGAAAAGACCCCGGTATCCTGGCTAGTTGTACGCAATGCGGAATAGGTTTGCCTTGAGCTGATTTTTTAAAGAAGGCTGCAGATACATTCTCAGAAAATTGACATCTTGTCTCTTCACCACACACAGAGCCATCAAGATACAGAGTTTGGCCAACCTGGTTCGAGTCGGGCACTTTGCTTTGTTGGGCAAGCACAGAACAAAAGAATATACGCCATGTTGTGATCAACTGAAACCAAGAAACCGAACTCATGTGTATAGATGGCTTAGGGCCCTGTTTCATAAAACTTGATATCAATAACAAGTTACAAGCTACTGTTATAAGCTACTGAATTCATGCCATCTGATTGGCTGAGAGAAAATTTGTCGTAGAAATTTAGCATTTGTCGTTGATAATAATTTTATGAAATAGGGCCCTGGTGATATTTTGAGTAGTGAAAGGTCAGAGGTCAGCCCTTACCTTTGACCACCTGCTTTCTTCACACAGCTTATGTGCATACTGAGCCGCCATTGGCCAATCCAGCTTGTAGGCGTGGCACCACATGAGCTCCCAGTAGCACAAGTGGTGGAACTGCCTCCATTCCTGCTGTGATGCGATGCACTCCTGGAACTTCTCAATGGCCTGCAACGGAAGAGCAATAGGGATTCGGTTAGACAATCTGCTATAACTGTTGCTCTGTGGTCAATATCCTACTCTGATGAAAGTCCATTTAATCCTAGATTAACTACTTTGCCTAACCCTAACCTTAAAGATAAAGGTGAGTTCTGGTAAAAAAAAAAAAAAAATGAATTCTCTCCGAATCAAACAAAACTTACACTGAATGTTCAAGATTACAAATAAATGTCATTTGCCAAATGATTTTGGTAGCAAATGTATACTGGATGAGTAATGAGCATAGAAAGATTAGGAAATCGAGATTGGTAGCCCCGACACCATTTGTGTAGTCCCATATACATCTTTCTGTGTACAGTGCTTGTTACTTTACCAAGACTTGGCCAAGTATATTATGATTTTGATGACTCCAGAACTTTGCAGTACACACCACCAATACTTACATGCTATATGATCAACTTTTTCTGATCCATTCCACACCTTTTCTTTCACGATGACCAGAACTCACCTTTATCTTTAACACTAAACCTAACCTGACCTAAAACCAAATTGCAATCCTCAACGCAACTTTATAGCTATGATGTCATAATGTACTGCAATAGAGGAACTAGTTTAAAACCTCCTTCAGGGACCACTCTTTCAAACATCGCTAACAACTGAGACCATTTAATCTAGTCCTTTGTCTCATCAAATTGACAATTATATCTACATTTGTGATTAAAGGTACACCCTTCTATCCATTTTTTATTTAGAGCAAATATTGAAAATGGTAGAACTATCTGAAGTAAAATTGTCTTTAGAGACTTACAACTATGGGATCTCATTTGGAACCAGCACCATTCGGGTATTTACCCAATAACAGATGTTCTCTGTTACATTTACTTCACATTTCTGACAGACAAGTCTTAAAGGTAAAGACCAGTTATGGTCATGCGATTGCATTGTGAAAGAAACGTTGTGGAATCGATCAGAAAAGGTTGATCATCTAGCATATAAGTATTGGTGCGTACTGCAAGGTTCTGGAATTATCAAAATGATAAGAAATTTGGCCCAGTCTTCGTAAAGTTACAAGCACTGTACACAGAAAGATATATATGGGACTATATGCACACATGCACGACACATGTGTTTATCTCTCACAGACCATATATATAAACTCATTTACCAAATATATCAATTAGTAGGCGGTTTCCCGGCAAAATTGTTATCATCATGTATTAGTCAAAACATATTCTTTCACATGATTGGTAATAAGAGCTTCCATTTCATTTTTTGAAATTGAGGCGTTTCCAATACTGATCTTTACCTTTAAAGAGAAGGTTGAGTTCTAGGAAGAGGTGAAAAATAATTTGTGAGCGTTATCATTGTTATCATGCAAGTGTGGAAGAACATGAGATAAAACACCTTCCCTGAAAAGCATGGCTCTTCAAATGCCTTCATATTCTAAATATGGCATGAAACATCATAAAAATCGGGGCAGATTTTTTCGCCACATGTTCATTTAGTCCCATATACATCTTTCTGTGTACAGTGCTTGTAACTTTACCAAAACTGGGCCAAATTTCTTAGCATTTTTTGATGATTCTAGAACCTTGCAATACACATAAATTCTTATATGCTAGATGATCAATATTTTCTGATCTATTCCACAAGGTTTCTTTCACAATACAATCGCTTGACCAGAACTCAACCTTCTCTTTAAGTAATACATACACCGTAAGAAAAACCACACATCAAAGGAAATTCTCTTAGTGAATCCCTCGCCAGAACAATATCTTAATGCTATCTGATCTATCCCAACAAGTTTCAAATAATGTATTTTCAAGTGGGCCACAAGTGTCGCTGCATATAAAAATAGTGTACACACATTAACTGGTAATTTCACTATGTCTAGTACAAGCAAACAATGATGCACTTTTCACAGACACTCCCAAGGGTATGTCTTTACCTGCTGTAAGAACACATCGCAGCATTTCAGCCAAAGACATCAAATTCTAACCAAGTTAGACAAGAAATTTCCACTGCTTGTATTTAATCAAGTGACATATTCCCTTGTTTGTTGTTTGTTTGTATGTAAAGGTGCTGTGGTCTAGTGGGTAAGTCACCCAACTGCAGATCACAAGGTACAGGGTTTGGCAAGACGTTAATCTACATTTGCCACTCTCCACCCAGGTGTTAAATGGGTACCCGGTAGGATGCGAAAATTAATGTGGTTAGATGAGCAAGTGTGGGCTAGTAAGAATGATGCAGAGATGCCAACCTTCATCAACAAAAAAAAGTATTCTTAAGAGCAAAAAACAGTATTTTCGAAAGAATCGCCTAATCGAGCAGCTTAAAACAAAAATGGCAGTACCACATACCGTAAATCTCCGGGTATAAGACGCACCTCTTATTTTGGGGGCCAAGAAAAAAATAAAAAGAAAAAAATAAATAAATTTAAAAAATACTCTCGGCAGCAAGCCAGGTCGGTATTAAAAAAAAACATGCAGTGAAGGACTTTCATTTAACTGCGAGGTGTAGTTGAAGGCGCCGTTTGTGCTTATGAACTTGTCACAAATGATATTAACAATGTCATTTTTAGAAGAATGTGCAAGATCATTAATGTAAATTAAAACCGGTAGAGGACCTAGGAAAGAACCTTGTGGTACACCATGATATTGAGATCTATTAGAAAAATTACTTTCAAACCAAGATGACAGACAAATTTGAGTGTTGTTCTAGTTTCCAAGTAGTGAGTAAACACACCGATTACTGAGCTGGGAGACATTGCCAGGCATAGTGCCAGGTGGAGGGGCATAAATTAAAAAAAAAAAAAAAATTAAAAAAACGTAACAAAACATACAAAAAACATACTGCCGTATTCATAGCAAAAAAACGGAACAAATACGGCAAAAACGGAACAGTTGGCATCTCTGATATTGATGCCTGGCTGGAATGAACCTCAGGGAGTAGGGAGTGGAGAATGTGCATACATTGTGTGCGGGTAAGCCTGAATCCGATGACCGGAGTAATAATATATCTGTAAAGCGCTTTTAATAGACACATCGGTGATGTAGTGAACCTCAGGGAGTGGAGAATGTGCATACATTGTTGTTGTTGTTTGTTTGTTTTTGTTCTACTCACTTCATCCATATTTCCCGAGATCTCTTCTATCCTTGCAGCCAGGAATAAGAAGATGACCCCCTTGGGATAATTCCTGAGACACGGTTCTAAGATTTGTCTGGCAAACTCGATGTCTCCATCAGCAGTACCTACAAAGAAGAAGAAAGACATCATTTGGAAGGCATGCAAGCATTGTCTTGTAGGTAAAGACAGAAAAGGACCAAATGTCAGACAAATTTAATTTCAATTCAACTCAAGAAGGGTTTATTAAAAATTTTAAAAATTCCAGCCGAAGCTAAATTGCATGGTCATTTACAAGGCCAAGTACATCATAACGGTTAAAAAACAGCATTATACATGTAAAAATTAAATATCAATAACATATAAAAGGATAAATATACTACAGCTCCATTCTAAAGTAAGTGCTAGGGTCTAAAAGATCAAAGTAATGGATCAAGTTCTTGCAAGATAGTTCTAATATCCATCTGGCCAGGTCGTTGCCTCTATCAGAAGTACATAATCGAGAGAGAAAACATGAACAAAATCCCTATATAAACATTTACGAAAACTGTACAAGTAACAAGCCTAATATATAAATACTCTCCATACGATTGATGGATGTAGAATAGACATTCAGACACCTTATCATCTAGCATAGCAATACTCATGAAATACATATTGCCTCGGTCCTGTAAAAAGACAATACATGTGATTATTAGAGATTAAGTGTAGACATTGAGACACCTAATCATCTAGCTGTACTCACCAAACACATATGTTCCTATTGAATGGTAGCTAATAATCACCATAGAACACATAGGAGACCTCAGACAAGGCAGCTTGGAAGCCCTTTCTAAGTCAGTCAGCCCTTTTATCTGTGTAGGAAGCAATGGAAGAGATGGGTTAGTTTACCAGTCTCTGAATTTATGTTCATTCAAGTTCATTCTACAATGCACAGATCATTGACATATGCCCCCCCCCCAAAAAAAAAAAAAAACATGTTCAATTATCTATACAGTGTCGCAGAGAAACAGCAACATGTAAAGGCAAACTATAGAGAAACTATAAAGAAACTATATGGAACATTATGAATCAAATCGGAACAACTGTAGAAGGAATGACCTGTCAAAAATATAATTTCTTTAATTATAATTCTCTTTAACCACTTATCTTGGCACATTGGTCTTCTAAAGCCTCACTGAGATATGACTCAGCAAAAGCCTCACTGAGATATGACTCAGCAAAAGCCTCACTGAGATATGACTCAGCAAAAGCCTCACTGAGATATGACTCAGCAAAAGCCTCACTGAGATATGACTCAGCAAAAGCCTCACTGAGATATGACTCAGCAAAAGCCTCACTGAGATATGACTCAGCAAAAGCCTCACTGAGATATGACTCAGCAAAAGCCTCACTGAGATATGACTCAGCAAAAGCCTCACTGAGATATGACTCAGCAAAAGCCTCACTGAGATATGACTCAGCAAAAGCCTCACTGAGATATGACTCAGCAAAAGCCTCACTGAGATATGACTCAGCAAAAGCCTCACTGAGATATGACTCAGCAAAAGCCTCACTGAGATATGACTCAGCAAAACCACTGTGTGTTTGTTATGAGGACATGAAGTGTAATATATGCTTCATATTTCTGTATCTCATAACACACAGCTCAGTGAATATGCACAGGATCTTTGCTGTGCACAGTTGCCATTCATTTACATGTACACAAAAAAAGCGAAGGATTTTTGTGGCGGTTTACTGCATCATATCTGAACTAGCATTAAAATGACTCGGTAACATTGTCGAAGGTTGATGAAAAAATTGCTCAATTTTTGTATAAAATGTTACTTACTATATTCCTTCTACTGTACTAACCCTCTGACATGCAAACAATCCTGAACAAATTCTCAAACCACAAAGATATCAATGGTTTTCTTTGAAGGAGTCGATGTATGACACCCTCTAACAGTGATTAACAGTAAATTCTCCAAACAATTTTTGAATTTTCCCAACCGTTTTTCCATGAAAAAAAAGATATACATGTAAAACAGGCTATAAAAAATCTGTCAACACTTAAATGTCTGGAATGGAATGTAGAGCCATTTTATTGCTTTGGGACGATTTCCATTCACCTAAAATGTAATTAAATTGTACTAATATAGTTGGGAGAATTAAGGAATCGATCAGATCAGTTTTTCCCAATTTGTACCATGAATAATGGTCTGTTTTCACTCAAATTTTCAGATTCTCTTTAATTGTACATCTAGCATTGAAGTCGCTACCTTTTAGCACCACTATCTCTCATCTGAACAATGTTACAAAGTCCCTTTAAAGGATTAAACTTTGTCAAGCATGTACCAAATTTAGATGTCATTTACATTTCCTAGAACATTTAGTTCAGGTTCGTTATTTTTCACAACAATACACAAAATACACAAAATTACAAATGGCTGCTCCAATTAAAAGCAAACATGGACAACATGCTCTGGTAAAAAAATATGGGAGGGAATTGTTTTTATAATCTATTCTCAAAATGTTACTTTGCCTTTAATACAAAATCATTCCTCCACATTGTGTGATCAATTGTTTATTTAATCATTGAGAGACAAGAACCTGAAGTTAAAAATAGTTTTAGGATTGTTTAGTTTAGAGCAGTACAAGGAAATATAATATATAATAATAATAATAATAATACATAAGATTTATAAGGCGCCAAATCCACTTGACAGTCAAATGCTCAAGGCGCAGCTTGTGCAATAGATGAAATACATACATGATACATTTATACAAAGTGCAATAGGAAAGGTACATACATGAAAGGTTATGGTAATCAATTATAAGCTAAATTAAACAGATATGGTATGAAAATACTGTTCATGTCGTAAGTTAGTACATGTAGAAGTTGTTATACAAATTTTGATTCATCTGTCTCACTAATTCTTTTGAAAATTATATACAGACAATTCTAAAGACTTCACTACCGCACTCCCCCTCCCCCCTTTCCTCTCTCTCTCTCTCTGTCTCTCTATCTTTGAGAAGTTAATAATGCACTTATGATCTTCATATTACAAGATACAAAGCATGATCATCATTCTAAACTATTTCTATGTCCTATACTTTTCCCTGGTTATCAATTATTCACTCTTACTTTCATTTAGTTTTGAGGGGGTGTAGATTACACACAATTTCTGAAGTCCTCGTTAAATTTCACGTTTATTTTCCACAAGTTTCCTGAACGTATTGAAATAAATGGCAATGGCTTGCATACAGCAAGATTTTGACCACATATTTTGATACAATATGAAGAAAAAAATTGAGAAAAAGAGACAGAGAAAAAGAAAGACAGAGAAAAAGAAAGAAAGAGAGAGGGGGGTAAAAAGAGAGAACAAGAGAGAAAGGGAGGGAGAGAGAATGAGAGAAAGAAAGAGAGAGAGAAAGAAAGAGAGAGAAAGAAAGAGAGAGAGAGAGAGAGAGAGAGAGAAAAGACATGAGAGAGGGGGTACGTAGATAGAGAACGGGAGAGAGAGAGAAAGATAATATTGATATATACACATGTATATAATTTAGACAGACAGACAGACAGACAGACAGAGGCAGACATTATTTACTTATTGAGGGAAAAGGAGCCCAAACTTACCCTATTTCCTGAGAATCCTACAAACTCCAGTAATTTCAGTATCCTCTTGGGCAACATTGATATACACTAGAAAAACAAAAAAGAAACAATTCATAATACATGTATTTATAAATATTGTCATAACAAAATACACACCCATAGTATCATTATTCAGTCTACTTTATAATGCATGTACTTCCTCTATTTTGATTCATAGAGTTAATGTTGTATCACGAGGCAAAGTATGAAATTTGATACGAGTAGGATGGCCATATGTTGCACAAATTGTCTTTTGATAATGTCGCAAAAAGTTAGAAGGGATACGAAGGTACATGTATATAAGCTGAATACACTTTAAACCCCTATCAGGTTTTTGCAAGTCCTCAATAACTTATCTCAAAATTAATCTGAAGCAGCATGATGAATTTAAGACAGTTTGTGCAAAATTTGAGACCAAAAGACCCTGTGGTTTTCTCTAGGAGTAAAATTGAAGTCCTCATATTGTACACAACGAATGGGGTGAATAAAACACTGCCAGTTGCAAAATTCAAGTTTGAAAAGAAAAATTGTTGTAATTTTGGTAATAATGAATATTTGCCACCACAACTTTTAAGAAGTTGTCACCGACAGTCTTACAACATTTTTGCCATTCTACAAGTTTTCAGATTTTCACCGTGCAAATCCCTGCAATGCAATTATACAGAGCATTGGTAAAATGGTTGGAGTAGACTTGCTCCTACAGTTACCCAATTTCCTATGTAGCCCTGCATGAAGTCAGGAAAGTTGATACAAAATTATCCATGTAAAAAAAGTGGTCCACATATGCAATAAATGCAAATACACCAACATAAAATTAGACTTACCAGATTAAATGTACCACTACCAAACTTGACACCACTCTCAAATTGTTGCTTGGATCTAGCTGACGGCCAAGTCCTATTCTCAAACATCTGTACACATGATCTGCAGAAGAAGAAAAATTGTGTTTTTTAAATTTATAGTTCAACTTAACACATTTTGTCATTAAACTGAAGAACACAATGTCAAGTCCCATGCTACATTTATGGACAATTCCCCAAAGATTGGAATGACAACATGACCTGAATTTATTAGCCATTTACTGCTAAATTTTGAATTTCCTCACTGGACAATCTTGTTTGTTTGTTTGTTTTACCTGACTGCTAAGAAAGCATATGTATGCTTGTATGTAGGCGACGAGGGGACTGACAGCTTTCAGTCCTCTCCGAGGTACTTGGTAACGATGATTAATGCCTTACCAAAGAGGGCAGTAGAACATCAACTTAGTTTTAAAGGGATAGTTGAGTTCTGTTGCAGAGGGCGCTACACAAAATAATTTTTTTTTGCGATAAAGAAAAACTGAGTGTCAAATTTGAAAGCTACATACAATTTAAATCACAAAATCATCTTTGTTTGATCAAAATCGGTTCAGAGACGGCTGAAATATCCATAAATATAACAATTTCTAATACTTGTGTACCACCACAAATATTTGATAATTTGAAAAAACTGTTCAAAAAAAAATAGGAGGAAGAGGGGAATAGGGATGGTGCTTGAGAAATGGTGCTTGTGTAGTGATGGAAGGGGCAGGGGTAAGATATCTACGATAAAAGATATTGAGATAAAAGCTTGAATGTACGGGATAAAGAGAGAAATAGAAAGAATTACAATAACAGACAAATGCAATTTAAAAAAAATTAAATTGCAAGAGAGATAGAGAGGAAAACCGTACTCACTTGTAAGAATGGTAACCATTTCTTATCTTAAGCCCGCCTTTGATGAAATTGATAAGATTGTCATCTTGGATGAAAGAAAGGATTGCACGCTCCAAGAGTGATTCAGCATAGCACAACTCGGCATGGACCTCTTCTGTTTACACACAAAAAATGCAATCTTAATCAAATAAATTTAATAAAATATATTTCAAGGGAAAACACAAGCACACAGTATGAATTAAGAGCCTGTCTACAAGTGAAATTAGTTTTTAAATTTGCCATCTTATGATCCAAAAAAATAGAAAACTTATTTATTCAAGTGTCTCAGAGTGTAAGAAAGTTTTACAATAACAATAATGCTAAGATGCAGTGCTTGTGCTAGTTTTTGCAAAGCTACCTACCCAAGGCCTACCAATACCGACTCTGATTTCAAAGACATCTAAACCCAGCCTCATTCATAAATGAATGGTAAATTATCTTAAGGAAATAAATATGACAAAAGCCAAACACTTCAGCAACAACTGGCGGAATGATTGCTTTCTGCAACACAATGGCTTTGCAAAATTTCCAATTTCCAGTCTTGATTTAGCTCCATGACAACCCTTTAGACACTTTTATAGACTGATCTAGCACTTGAAGCCTACGGTTTATCTATCCCATGAAAAATACATTGTAACACAGGGAGAATATCTGTTTTGCACAATTGCCTATAATAAATCTGAACACACAGATCACAGAGTACACATGGGGGAATTTGTTGCACTCTGGATTTTTTACCTAACTTCAATCATTATAATTCTTTTCTTCTTCTTTTTTTTTTGGGGGGGGGGGGATTTTTTACAGCATCTTGTGTGAGTGTGTATGTGTGTGTGTGTGTATTAAGTGTTTACAGACGTGTATCAATCAGATATGATTATTTACATCTGGGGACCGACCTTTAAATGTCGCCGTCCGAAAGACGTGACTCAATTCGAACCTGCGTCCTCGTCTGAATCAGTTTGTAACTTCCATTGTTAGCTGGATTACAGGCGCACGCCACAATGCCCAGTTAAACTTGCTGAACAGAGCTTTATAACAGCTTACTGAAGTATTAGAAACACTTCATGTTGCTGAGGTTCTTGTTTTACGGTGTTGCTTACCGTCTGTGTATGTGTTATAATTGGTCTTCCACATCATCTTGGACATGGAGGTTATGACGCTCGTCTTCTTGCGGAACCGATTGGCCACCTCGATGGAGTTCTTGATCCACTTGATGGCCTCCTGGATGTCCGCGGGGTCAAAGGTCATGACGGCCTGGAGGTAGCTGATGGTGCCGTGGCCCAGGGCGTGGTAGACGCTGGCGTGGGACCTGGTGCGATGAGAGAGAGAGGGAGAGAGACAGAGAGAGAGACAGAGAGAGAGACAGAGAGAGAGAGAGGGAGAGAGACAGAGAGAGAGAGAGAGAGAGAGAGAGAAAGAGAATGAATGAGAGAAAGAGAGAGAGAGAGAGAGAGAGAGATTAATACATAAATTTAAAGGTGGAGTGGGCACAAAAATGCCTCTAACATAAGTTTAAGTTGAAATCAAAACATCCTAGACAACCTTAAATTAATTTTAAAAATATCCAAAAAAAATTAAACACAGACATTCCATCTATTAAATGCACAGCAGATGTAAAATACATGTACACTTGAAAAAGCACACATGTAATAATTTACTAATGTGACAATTATCCAATATAGAATATTGTTCACCTTTTTATGATAAATCAAAAGAACGAGTGCGGATAGTGCTAAACAACAATCACTTCTCAAGGGACTTTCATAATCTCACTTACCATGGTTCAAAGATTGCTCTAGCTTCACTGAATCTGTTATTAAGAAAGAGGTTGAGTGCTACTGTCGTCTCTTCTATAGCTGTAGCGAGGTCCATTTCTTTGACTCTAGTAAAATAATAAGAGGAGAATAATTAACACATTTAGCCAAATGACTACTAGATTCTCTTATTCCAATTAATTGGCTTAATACAGTCAAACCTGCTTTAGCGACGACCTGTCTATAGAGACCACATTTTTTGTTTCCCTTGAGCAGACTTTCCCATTGAAACATGTATCAAAGAAACCTGTACATAAAGACCACCTGCTCATAAAGACCGCTTTTCTTGTCTCCCTTGAGCGGTCTTTATAAACAGGATTCCCTGTACTTACAAGGACCATCCAGTTCCCGTAGACAATGAGTGCTGATTTTATATACAATGTAGGTTTATGAACACCAGTGATTAAAATGATATTTTTGACCTACATGTACTGTACCTTTTAATAACACACTTCATTTTGCTATAGCCATCTTGCAAAACATGTATAAGCTATTTGTGTACATTTCATCCTTCAAAAAATAAACTCTACTCATTTATCCATGCTACAACTGCTAATTGTTTCCACTCACATTTCATGTACCGTAAATCTCTGTGTATAAGGCGCACTTTTTTGCCGCCGAAAAAAATTGAAAGTCGGGGTGCGTCTTATACACATGTACACAAAAAAGTTTCAATTTATGGCGCTATGCCTGGCAATTTTTCCCAGCTCATTAATCGGTGTGTTGACTCACCACTAGGAAACTATAACAACACTCAAATTTGTCAGTCATCCTGGCTTGAAAGTAATCTTTCTAATAGATCTCAATATGTAGTTTATAATAATAATTCCTCCAATTTTGCTTTGGCGTACCACAAGGTTTTATCCTAGGTACTCTACTGTTTTTAATTTACATTAATACACATTCTTCTAAAAACGACATTGTTACTTTTATTTGTGACAAGTTCACAAGCAACAACAACAACAAAACATTTTTTTTTTTTCTTTTTTTCTTCCTCAAAATAGGGGTGCGCCTTACACACAGAGATTTACGGTATGTACATGTGAATGAACGTTTATTGCTAAATATCCGATAATGTATGTTTCCCCATGTTGGAAAAGAAAATGCAGAGAAAATGATAACATATCGTTGTTGAGAAACAGTAATACTCTCAAAAGAATATAATGCACCAATTGATATTGACATCAACAATGACAAGAAATCATATTAAGGAAAATACACCAATATGTACATGTAACAGAATATAGGACATTCATTGTATAAACTCAGAACTGAGGGGAAAACATTAGCTAATTAAAAAAAAAACGGGGTAAATATAAACACCAACGAAATAAATAAAAGGATGCATCAACTTGGGAAAACACTAAATAAGAAATTCATGACTGCTTCATCTTTCCTTCATCAACCTTTTTTTATATAAATGACATAAAAGCATTTACTCTGAAGTACTCAGAAGTACTGTACACAACCAGAATAAATACATGACACATTCGTCTGTTTGGAGTCAGAAGGGCATTATAAACTCTGTGTTAAAGTGCATGAGTTAATCCCCTACTGGCTCAGAAAAAACAATACACAGTGTACATGTAAATCATTTCCTTTCCCCATTATTTGTTCAATTCATCCCCCCCCCCCTCTCTCTCTCTCTCTCTCTCTCTCTCTCTCTCTCTCTCTCTCTCTCTCTATGTCTCTCTCTGTGTCTCTCTCCATCCCTCCCTCAACCCCCTCTAATTATTTTTAAAACCTCATCTCTGTATTTTTTCTTTCCACCTCTCTCTCTCTCTCTGTCTGTCTCTCACCATACCTGTCTCTCACTCTCCTCTCCTCTCGATCTTACTATTAAATTTTTCAATGCGTTTTGGACCTCTTGCTTTCTCTCACTTTCAGTTTTTTTTTTAAATGGTGGCAAAGACAAGAAAGGAGATGGAAGCAGGGCGATTAATAGAGGAATTTGTATATTGCTGTCTGGACTTTCTTACAACCTCTATAAACAAGAGACTACACATATTTAGGTCAAATTTTTAAAAGAGGGTAAACATGTACAAAATAAAAACAAATGTAGGAGATAAATATCAATGAAATTCAAAGCATATATGAAGAGAGCTAGCACACTGCCATGTATATATTACGACACCAATATTCCTACCTCTGTTTGCATGGGCTCCCTCTTCTGTGCGAGGCAATGGTAATTTGATGAAGATACATACACATAAAGGTTTATTGATCTGACAAACTAGCACGTTGGTCGTTAAGTGCACGTCATAAATAATGGAAATACAGAATATTAATGGACTATAGATAAAGTACATATACTAGTACATGGCACAATAAGTTAAAGAGAAGGTTGAGTTCTGGGAAGAGGTGAAAAACAGTTTTCGAGCATTATCATTGTTACTGCAAGTGTGGAAGAACATCAGATAAAAAAATGTTCTCTGAAAAGCATGGCTCTTCAACTGCCTTAATATTCTAAATATGGCATGTAACAGCATAAAAATCAGGACAGATTTTTAATACTACATGTTCGTGTATGCCCATATTTCTGTGTACAGTGTTTGTAACTTTACTAAGACTGGGCCACATTTCTCATCAATTTGATGATTCCAGAACCTTGCTGTACACACCCAATACTTATATGCTAGATGATCAACCTTTCCTGATCGATTCCACAACGTTTCTCTCACAATGCAATCGCATGACCAGAACTCAACTTTATCTTTAAATTGCTCCTATGGACAAAACATGGCCTGAAAAATTACACTGTATGTTCTCAAATTTGTTGGTGTTAGAAATTGACACTGGACTTGTCTGGAGCATGCACGGTAGAGTCTACAATCAATACAAACAATATTGCTTATTGCAGAAATTGTTAATCATATCATATTTACATATCATGTTTTACCTATGACAAGAACATCATAATACTAATGGGTTCTTGTATAGCGCTCATGTCAGTCAGATTTGACCCTCTTGGTGCTCCCGATTATTACCCTGGCTTTAGCATGGCTGCCATACCGCGCTCTAGCATTTCAAGGAATACATTCCTACCAGGTACCCATATCATAAAGCTATTATGATGGCCCCATTTTTCTATGTAAGATTTTATGTGACCATGTTAAAAACTCATATATTTGTGATGATTTATATGGAGAATAACTAAATATCAAATCAAATTAAAAAACGCTGGTAAAACATCAATAAAATCCTCATTACGGTATACATATTACAATTTACATGCACACCTAAACAAGCTTTAAAATACAATGTACACAGTGATCTTGTAAACAGACTAGTGCCTGTCAACACTAAGTCACTACTGATCTGTAGTATGCATGGAAGCTTGTTCGCACTACTGAACCATAGTCTGCATGCACAAACCCTTGTCAGTCCTAATTATACATGTACATGTATGTATGTACATAAAAGGTAGATCAACTGAACGTTCTACTGCATGTTTTGCTGCGCATACACTGTACATGTACAGTTAATGACTAAATTATTCATACTGCTTGTACATGTAAATTTGATGTTTTTTGTGTTTTTCAGAACTCACAAATAAAAGTTGGACTAGTTCAATAGACCAGTTCACGGTTAGCACATTACTGCGATGACCCCGAATATTCACAGATCTTCAAAACATGAAGAGGTCCCACTTTGTACATTTTAAAATAATCTCTCCTACAGCGATGGAGGTGCTATATAAATAGCCTTTGTTTCCCCTTTTTAAAGAATACTTCCACCTGTGTATCAAGGGGTGCACTTAATGTGCATTCATGAATAATGATTACATAACTTTCATGAGCACGTATCCAGTATTTCGTCTCCGTGTATTTCAACATTTGTTCTGCAATGATCTTTATCTGCTCATGCTCAGACTGCAACCGTGAACTGGCTTATTAGGGCCTGTGTTGAATAATTTTAGATGTGAGATTTAATATGTCACATTCTCAAAAACATAAATCAGGATAAATCTATTCTTCATGCGTAACTTGGTAAGGGTATGAAAAAATTTAGTATTTGACATCATATTTAGACTCACAAATTTAGGCTAGGCGCAAGGCATCGTGGAATAGACCAGCTCATAATTAGCATATGTGGTTTTAATAAATGAACTTGAATATTCACAGATCTTTAAAAAATGGAGAAGTCCCACGTTGTGTAACTGCCAAAGTCAAGGAGGTGCTACATGTACAATGTAGATGTACCGGTATACCTTGTACCGGTTTGCCCTCTTCAGAATACTTCCACCTGTGTTCCATAGAATGTACCTCATAGCCTCAGTGCATAAATAAATGATTGCTCAAACGAGCATGTACCCAGAATTTGTCTCGGCTGGTTTTACAATCATCATAGAAGAAATGACCCCTCAAATCTGCCTATAGATGCGCAGATTGTATACGAACTGGCTTTATGTGTTTAAAATGCCATCTTTAAAAAAAGAGTCTGATCATGCAGACTAGCTGAACCATCTGCTCAGTATATCTTGCGCTACAATACAAGAAGCCACTTATGGCTCAAGCAATTTCTAGTAATAATTACAACCCTGTAAACTGGATTAGCATTATGAATATCAGTCACATCATGGAATACACAAGAGGATATAAATGATGATAGCATACTCCATCATATTAAACCTGTATAACTCATCTACACATACATGTACTACGGGTAGTTGTTACAGTAAATAAACATTTATACATGCACAGTCCATTTTAAAGGTAAAGACCAGTATTGGAAACGCCCCAATTTCAAAAAATGAAATGGAAGCTCTTATTACCAATCATGTGAAAGAATATGTTTTGAATAATACATGATGATAAAAATGTTGACGGGAAACCGCCTACTAATTGATATATTTGGTAAATTAGTGTATCTCTTGCCTGTTGAGAGATACAAATGCATGTGTCGCGCACGTGTGTGTAGTCCCATATACATCTTTCTCATGTGTACAGTGATTCTAACTTCATGAAGACTTGGCCAAATTTCTTGATGATTCCAGAACCTCGCAGTACATCTGTGCTAGATGATCAACCTTTTCTGATCGATTCACAATGTTTCTTTCACAATGCAATCGCATGACCATTTAACTGGTCTTTAGCTTTAAAGGGATCCGGTAACTTTGTCTCAGATTCTGAATCAAAATTCTGGATTTAGCTCATGATGCAATGATAATTATAAACCTTTAGGTCAGTCAGGAACCCCATGACTTTTACAAGCTGATCGCCTGTCTGATTATCAAGATATTTATGATTGGAATTACAAATTTTGAAAACCGTTCGCCTGACGGTTTGCATAACACTACAGTCTATTGGGGAAAACGAGTATGGTAAAACCGGTCACTCCAAGATTTTAACTTTTTTGAGGCACTTCTTGATCATTTTGAAGCGCAATTTTTTTAGGGCTTCAATATTACACCATATCACAGACACTGATAACACGTAGGGCCGTGTATCTCAGATTTAACATTGTTAAACGATCCTTTTAAGAGGTGAGCATATTTTATGGAAAATTGTCATTCTTGAATTTACCAATAGCTTGTCCAACTTGAAACAATTGCAAAAGGCCACATGAGAAAAGACCAAATTAAGGCAAAAGGCCACATGAGCATTCACATGCTGACTAGAATAATTCTTGCTATAAATATCTATTTCAAAATATTACGATTATGAAGGCAACAGTACAGTATGTATGTACAATGTACATAAGGTCTTATTTACTATTTTGTTATGGTTGTACATGTACTGTACATGTAAATACAGAACTTCAACTTCAATAATCCATTAATTTGTCATACATTTGATGTAGACAGTAGAGAGTATAAGGAAATACATCCATCAAAATTTTCAGAAAACATTGATGTTTAGTCAAGGTGTTGTTTTAGTGAGGGGAAAAGTACTGGTAATGTTTACTTGCAATATAATTAGCAACAAAAATTAGATTCATACAAGTGTACAACTACACCAAATAACAATCCCTACACTGCATGTAGGTTGATCAGTCATTTCATGGTCATAAGATTCATTAGACCTTCCATGGATGTTGCTTTAAGTCCCATTTGCAGCCAACATCAAATTCTGTAGAACTTTGCAGGAATTATGAATATGTCATGTATGTCTTATCTGTGAAATTTAAACGTTAGCAGTGTGCTAATATTCAAATTATGCAAGGAAACCCGTTTACCTGCTAGACTTCACTGTCAGACACTATTGAGTGACTGACTGGCTTTTTTTCTTCTTTGGTAATAAAATGAGCTGTAAAGGGTATGAGCATTTGTCTACATCAATAACCCACTTCTTGTAAAAATGGCCAAAATTAAACTGATTGAATCTTTGCGCAGCATAAAACGTATGACCTTTCGGTACAATGGTCTGAAGATCAGACTATTACTTACTGGCTCTATAGCTCTTAAGTCTATTCGACAACTAATAGACGTTATTTTCCAACTTAAAGACATTTTCAAGCCCCCTTTTTTTTAGGGAAGTTCTAAAATAGTATTTTCTTTCAAATGCCGTTGGAATTTAACCTTTTCATTCTTTTGGACTGGTTTTCAGCAGGTGTCTTTAAAATACCAGTGTAGAACAATGTACATGTTCTGTCTATGCAAGTTAATCTGAATACACTGTATGTGCACATCAACCTTGATCTCTAAAGTGTACATGTAGTCACACTGGCAAATATTCCAGAAAATATATTTTTTTGAATATTGATTCCAGAGAATTTGCCAGCCTGACTGCGAATTACCTAAAATCATAGTGTACTACTAGTAAAACTCTGTAAGAATACTTCCAATGAGTTCTGTTTACTGTTTTATAGTGCTTACTAATTTGTGAGAAATTTGATGCTGCATGATTATTTTTACTCCAGTAATAGATGTATACAGCGGTCTGATAGTGTTTGGACATTTGCTCCAGGAACAATAGCTATAGGCTATGTGTTAGGGTTGGGGTAAGGGTAAGGTATAGTGTTTGGGCCGGGGTAGAAGTCGTAGAATTTGTTTTATTGTTTAGTTTAGAAATTTGACTGCAGAGCAATAGTCGCATGTCATAGAACCAAAATGACAGCGATTGAACTTCAGGAAGCTTGTAAAGTTGTAATGTCGTACACAAAAGTAATCCAAGGTGCGCAGTTCAGAAAATATTTGAGCACATGAAAGAATGATTAAAATTTCCCTGAGTTAACAATATTACTGTTATTTTCAAATGGTAATGTGAATGCACACTAGAAACTCTGGGAATATTTTAAAATTTCATTTCCTGGAATATTTGCAGCTTTCAGCGTGTCCACACACAAAACAATTTATCCCGAAACGTCGTATAAAGAATCATTGTATAAATTCCAGGATGTCCACACACAGAAGAAAGTAATCCTGAAACTCTACAGCGAAATGTCGTATAGGTGCGCAGTTTGCTACTGCGGTCATGAAATGGTAGCGGAAATGAGAGGTCTGGTCTCCTTTCGCTCGAGGTCACGTTAAGCCCGGCCCAGTTAGTTACACTAGTTCCGTCCAAACACAACACCTTCCGTGATTAGGCGTGATTAGGCGTGATTCTTTATTGAGTTTCAGTTCGAAACGATGCCCAAACCTGCGTTTCGTTAGACTAGTTTCGTTATACAACGTATCCTTAGTGAGTGTCCACACACACACAATTTCATCGTAAAACTATCGCGAAATGGTATAACTAATCACGCCTAATCACGGAAAATGTTGTGTGTGGACAGGGGGTTTGACTGCACCATGGCTGTACAAACATGATGACTATAAACCTAAAATGGGGGGAGGGGCAAGTCCTAATGATTTTCAAAAAAGATGCAATGACAACTTGTATGCAGAACTACAATGAATCCTTCTCAATCATGACTGCAAAAAATTCCCTAATACTGACAAGACTAACTAATCCAATCCAATGCATACCGTATTTTATACAATGTACAATTGTACATGTATCCTCAATTCTGCGTACCGGTATATTGATGCAGTCAAAACTCACCCTTCATCCTCCTTAGCCTCAATGGACATAACACTAGCAGATTCCACGAAAATTCAAATCAATATATAGACATCCACAAATCCTTGCACTAGATATGAAGTTCTAAATATGAAAAATGTCAATATTCACAGGTCCCAATGAAATCGCTCCAAGCTGAATACCTTATATCCACAAATCCTTGCACGGGTTATGAAGTTATATGAAAAACGTCAATATTCACAGGTCCCAACGATAGCGCTCCAAGCTGAATATCATTATCCACTGACTGTACAGGAGTATTAGCATCCCCCACCAGCACTACCAGCACTATACCGACGTATCATCACCCCCCTCATCAATCTAACGGCCAGCATCCCATAAACTCCTATGCATACATTAATGATAATTCAATCCCATATAGCCCGACGTCCCACCTGATTCGCTTCAAACGTCATGCATGGCTAATCGGAAGAAGTGGAGTGTTCACACGCACACACACACACACTCGCACACACACAATGCACAGGTATTTGATCTGTCAAGCCACCGGTGGGCTAATTGCGTTTCCTGTCGCAAAGATGCCTATTCTCGTTTGGAATGACCCTCTGATTAATTATCACATTTGATTGATGGACGAGGCTTTCTCAAATTAGATCAGACGATGCCACGCATTAGGCCTCTTTCTTAATGCGCTCTATTTTACATGGCGGTACATGTAGCTGTAAGATGTTGACAAATTTGTGTACATTTCCTAGACTTAAAGTGCATGTACTTGGTACTACATCATTATATCTTTCTGATATCATATGAGGAATCTACATGTACATACTTGTGCACACATTTTCTAATGAAATGTACTTGGACATGTATAATCTATAATAGAATTTAATTTAGTATGAAATACTTGTCATCTTGATGCATCAACTGGGGTTCTAAGGCTCTAAGCTTTAACCACCACCAAAGGCCTAAACCTTACTAAAAATTAAAGTAACTAAAACCCCAACAAACTACTAGCAACCTTTAATAATCCTAACCCACTATCCTTGACAAAACACGAGATCGCCCTTTAAATGTATCAATTCCAAATTGCATGTGCCGAAGACAGGCATTGTATTTTGCCAGCATCCATTCTTTTGCAAGGCATTCAGGATTTTACTTCTTACGGAAAATTAAGCATGATAGTTGTAAATACAACTCATCCATTCAAAAGATTACCAGTATTTGAAAGGGTTTTTGGTTAATACCTCTATGAAATAAATGTACTCATTACATTTACTGGTATATGTTGCAGTCAAGATCAACATTGTAAATACACACACAAGTAGTATACATTCAAGTAGGCTGATACACTACAGCTACATGCATGAATGTAAATGTAAATGTGCATTCGACAAGGCTTTATGAAGAAGACTAAGATCATTATGAAGACAAAAATTCTCAAATGTAAGGTCAAGAAACTTAATATCAACAAAGGTATGGATGGCCACCAAATAATAAAATGTGGTTTTCTGTAGCAACGTGTAATTCTCTAAAAAAATATAGACAGGTACGTACATGTACATGTACATTAGCAGGGTAGCTTCAGACTGGGGTGAGTAATTTGTTGATATGGTAAACAATGATTCAGATATAATCATAAGAATCAACAAAGTTGACATTCCACGTTGAGCTGTTGTTACATAAAGTATAAACTGTCATACATGTAAATGAATGATAGGATTATAGTCACACACGCACAAATATTGACATAAAAACATCCTCAAGGGCAATCGCTCTTTAACTGGACGAGGACATGGAGTTTGCACACAGGGTCTGAATTCTATTAGCTGGAGACTACAAAGTACAAACCACTGTAGCTAGTACCACTTGTTAAATTTTGACAGCAACCATCATCAGGAAGCTGGGTTAGGATTCATTCAAGACAAAAACTTATTTTTTTCTTAGTGTCCAACTAAGGAATGAACCTGTACTTGCACTGAGACTACACACGTACAGTGTAGTCTGGAAACCAAGCATTTTAGTGCCACACAAACCTACTCTTTAAACATTTCATCAACAAACTATAAATTTGGCATTTGTCAACTTGTCGTACATGTACATGATTATAATAAAAATGCGACACATTCAATTCTTAGAACAAACACACAAAGTCCAATAACTTGTTCAGAGTTCAGTCAAGAAGAAAATAATTGTATTTACAAAAACATCATTTGTCATATACAGAATCATCGTAAACTATATTTAAAAGGGCGCATAGCAAAAGGGGCATACTCCATGTACATGTACACATTGTGTAGAGGATTGTGGAAGACTAGCCTTGTGCTAATTAAGTAATCTAATAAAAAAAAAAAAAATGAAGTAATCCAATAAAAACCTAGTAGTCTACTACAGTACTTCTATGATCACATAAAAACATGTTGTACTGTCAAATTATCAGGTCAATTAATTAACAACAGAGGATCGGGAGGCCAGCAAACACATTTTGTAGAGCACACTGTGCCCTGTATTTTTTTTTTGTTAATGCAGAGGAAAGTCAAATATAGAGCTGGAGAAATACAGTATATGGTCGGACATAAAAACATGTTGTACTGTATAAAGAAACCATTTTAAAACAAAATGATCAGGTCAGTTGACATGACAGCAGGCCGAAAATCACGATAAGCCCACCCCATCCCACGTCCCCCCTCCCCATTTACAAGAGGGTTTTCGTAGGATACAGTATTCAGTCAGGTTCTTTGTACAGCTCTCAATCAAAACAATGCTTAGTTTCGCTATACAATATTTTGTTATTCAATGTTGGGAGTTCAGACTTCAAAAATGTAATTACAGCATACAGTTTTCACATAGCCATACAATTAATGAATTTGTTAGTTTGTCGAAGGGGGGGGGTCTAGATAAGTGTACATGTTACCCCTGAAAGAGCAGCTACATGTACATGTATTGTACAACCCCATCGAACATCAATAATATCATTACACTATAAAAAGAAATAATCCAGACATTGATGCAATACCATGTTGCAAATCAGCCATATCCTCCTACATGTAGCTACAATATGTGGTACCCATTAAAGGCCCACTGCACTACTTGTAGCTACTTGCGCCCTCTATAGATAACAAACAATGATCAATCGGTGACCATTGGTCCCCCATGATCCCCTTTTTCTTATGTTAACTGAGAGCTGAGTTGATGAGATAATCACCTGTCCAGTGACCTTGCAGGGCTGTCTAATCCCTCCTGTAAACTATGGCAGATAAGCTTTAATACTATTTTCCTCATGCTAAAGTGATGTGATCTAAATGCATACATGCCAACATTTGAAAATCAGAAATCTGTACAAATTATGCTATTTTTAAAAAAAAGAGGAACAATCCTAACTCTCCTATTCAATACTACAGACAAATTTGTACAGGAAGAGGAACACCTGCATTAAAATGATAATTATCTTCTCCCAAAAAGAGGAATGTTCCTCTTTAATCTGAACAGTTGGCATGTATGTAAATGTACATTTTCTTTTTTGCACCTACATGTACCTGGTACCTGTATGCTTAGCAGATGGTTGTCAACTGCTAAAAATGTAAACAAAATACAGTAGGCCTATATCAATGGGTGGGAACTGAAAAGAAAAAGGAGTGGTTCAACTTACGTTTGAAAGGTTTCCATCGCATCTTGGAACTGCAAAGATACAAGGAGACAAATATTACCTTATGATTAAATGTAATATTCCCATACAGTATGTTAAAAAGTTGCAAATGATGGTCGATTCAATCAACATTAAAATGTGCATAAAAACAGATTGATTTCCATAATAATAGTAATAATAGATTAAAGGTAATACAAAGTTTTGGAAAATTTCCAAAATTGGGTGGATCACGATTCTTTACAACTTTGATATATTTGGATGACCCTGTGGATGTATTATAAGCACTAGAAAATTTAGCCCCTAAAACACTTCTGCTTTCGAGAAAACTTGAATATAACAATTTACTGGTGCTCCCGGTAAATTTTTATAAATTTCAAACAGCTCCTACGGCCGTACAATGGTAGCTGCGACCATGAAAATCTCAAAATATGTAGTTGTGATATATAATTTACAAACGGGAATAGCTCACATCAGACTTGAATGCGCCTAGCAGGCAGCCGTCTCTGTTTTTTGCTCTGAATTTTACCGTGTTTTACCACTGATAATTTGAGTCTATGCTGTTTTATTGTTGATCAACTGTCATCTTATGTACTTGTGACACTGCATGACATTTTTGAGGTGATGTATTTATATATTAGATACTGGAAACGGTTTTTCTAAATTTTGATTCAACGGATGTGTACACAGTACATGCAAGTAAAGCCATTTTACACTGGGCTGTTACACATGTACTATACTGCATGGATGTGTGAACGTCGTTCGTGTGTGACTGATTTGCCTATCCGTGGTGTGACATTCATCTACATACAATGAATAGTCTTGATACGCACTGATGGATACTTACAAAGTATACGTTCTTTTCTACATTGCCCTATGTATAACTACTGGCCTCCGTGGGCATTCGAGTTACTCTAAACATGAAACTGCGTTTGTTCCCGTTCGTGCTCCTAGCCGAGCTCATAAACAGCTTCATCGTAGCGGATATCACAAAACACCAATTAAGTATTATGCTAATGCAAGTGCAACTTTCACTTTACCTATCATTTGTTGCGGTGATGTGGAATCTAACCCGGGTCCGTTCGAGTTGACATCATGCAATACAAATAAACGATATAAATATACGCGAGGTGAATTGGTTAATATTAACTCAAATTCTTGTGGGAAAAGCTTACGACTACCAGTCCAGACATGGAAAACAATTTCAGAGCTCGAAATTGGAAAAGAGTTTAAAACCCGTCGCGGCTGCAGAGCTGGTGTTCGAAAATTGAAACATTTCAAGCATCCCATTCCGATTATTCTACCTACGGCCCGTACCAAGCTTCCTAAGAAATACCCTAGGTTCCCTCGCCGAAGATGCTTGACTTCTGTCCCAGTCGCCCCTAAGTCTGGGTGCGATTTGCCTTCTTTTCTTTTAAGCAATGTCAGATCAGCATGCAATAAGTTTGATGAGCTATCAGCTGTCATCTCGTATCTTCATGTAGACATTGCAGCTATTACCGAGACCTGGTTTAGGAATGACTGTCCACTCGATAACTTCTCTATACCAGGTTATTATCTCTGCGCTAAATCACGTACTAATCGTATAGGTGGTGGAGTAGCTATCTACGTGAGAGAACTTTTGAATCCTTCTCCAGCTGATGTCCAAGTCCCTATAAACCTTGAAGTGACTTGGGTGAAGATACGCCCTCCTCGTCTTCCAAGATCCATCTCCTGCATTTACTGTGCAGTCGTATATTACCCTCAGCCTGATGTTGAACTTGAGACAGAACTCATAGATCATTTGGAAACAACTATTGATGTTATTTTAACTAATCATACGGATGCAGGTTTTGTAATATTGGGAGATTTTAATCGAATGAATATTGATCCGGTGCTTTTAACCCACTCATTTCGTCAAGTCGTTGATTGCCCTACTAGAGGGGCTCACATTTTAGATAAGATTATCACAAATATTCATCAGTTTTATGATAAACCACAGATTTGTTCTCCTATTGGAATGTCTGACCACAATTCAATTATGTGGTTTCCTCTTAAAATCAAACCTAAATTACCAAATACTACTCGTTATGTATTTAACAGACCCATGACAGATAGTGCAATAAGGGCGTTTGGACAGTGGATATCCTCTTATGATTGGCCAGAAGTG